ACATTTGATTATGCAATCGGCTGGCATTGACCGCGAAAGTGAGTATTTTATTGCTCAGAGTGAACCATTCTTATTATAGCCATGGCCGGGCGGGGGGCAAGTTCAGGGCACGAAGCCAGCAAAGTGCTAACTGAAAGTGGTTCTCTTTCGCCGCCGCCGCCGCCGCTGCCTCTTCTGTTATCTATTAGACGTGTGAGAACGGCGCGTTAACAAGCCCCAGTATCTTATCGGAATTGGCATAGAACATAGAACGTTGGAGATACTTTCTTCTGCAAGCCAATGAACGACCGACCTTAAACTGCAGCTCTCCCCCCCCTCGCAGCAATTGGCAAGCAGCCCCATGCTACGGGTACAGTCCTCCGTTCATTGGCATTTGGCCGCAAAAATTGCACAACAGACAAACAGACAGACAGACGGGCAGGCGGGCAGCGACGTTTGCCAGACCATGACAGGGCCAAACAAGTTTTTTTTTTTGTGCCTCTTGGCGAAAATCAGAGAACTGCATAACGTAACTATATACTCGGTATAAACTTGAAACTTTATTGGCTTGCCGGTAACCGGTTTTCGGTGTCTCGGCTTCTGGGATTGCACGTATTGCAATAAATGCATTTAGTATTCAGCATTCAATTCATATTCAGGTGACTCAGCGGGGGAACTTCGTACAGAAAATGCATATTTCTGGGATGGAAACAGCGAAGCAGCAGCAGCAGCACCAAGCGGCACAGACACACAGCATACACACACTCACAAACAAAAGGAATTGCTGAAGTTAATTTAAACGATTTGTTGTCGCCAGAAATTAAACTTTTAGTTGCCACACTTAGCTTAAGTATTAAATTCTAGATAATATTCACTATGTAGTCACTATATAGTATAGTAATATTATTTTCACTTGATTTGCAATATATTTTATGGTTGGAGAACGGCTCACCTTTGCAACCGTAGAATTCAACGTCCAACGTTACAATGATCAGAAAATTCTGTTCTTTGACTCAACGGATTGCAGTCGGCTGTCGGTGGGGCAGCAACGTTGGGGTTGGCGCTGGCAGAGCGGCAGCAGCAGCAGCGCTCCCTTCTTCTTTCACTTTCAAACTACACCAACATACACACACACACACGCAGCACAAAAGGCACAGCAGAGAGACTGAGAGAAAAAGCTACGGTCTGCAATGGTGTGCGAGTGTGGGAAGCCTGCCTGCCTACCTCCTGGCGTGCCGTGCCTCTGCTGCTGGTATGCCTCTGTATCTGTGTGTAGTGGCAGCTTGCCTCTCTGCCTCTGTATCTGTGTGTAGTGGCAGCCTGCCACTCGGTCTCAATGTATCTGTGTGTGTGTGTGTAGTGGCAGCCCCTGCTCCCAATTGACGTAGGACGTGACGTATGACATAAAAGCAGAAAAAGCAAAGCTTTCGTTTCGCCAAAGAGCGCGACAGCAAAACACACACGCACACAGCACTCAAAGCTCTTCAGAAAAGCGCACACAGACGCAGACATAGAGGCACCTCCGGCGCTGGCAGAGAAAAGGAAAGTGTTGGCAGCGCAAACAGCTAGAAAACTGCATTGCTCTCCATGCCGGGTGTGGGAGCGAGAGGCCACAAGAGCGAGCCTGCAGGCAGGCTGTAGCTGCATCTGTGTGTGTGTTTGAGTAACTCTGCCTGCGACCGCTGCAGCGTCAATTGGAGGGTGTGTTGGATACACCACACCCATACGAATGCAAATAGTTTTCATTGCTTAATTATGAGCAGGCATGGCTCCAGGCGAGGCCCCCAAAGAAAGTAATCAATGTACGACGAGCACGGGTAAGTGGCGAAATTAGCCCCAGAGTGTGCGACTGACTCTCCTCAAGAAGTGCTAACATTTGGGATGATTCAACAAAGCCCCACTCAGAATTGCTCAAAATGCTGAATAAACAGTTAAAGCGGACCATCGGAGGGAGCTTATTGTTCGACCAGATGGAAAAATATTCCCCCATACAGCTTCAGAAATATATGTATGACACAATCTGTCGCTGCGGTTGTCATGATCTAAGGCAAACGATAAATTTTGGCACTAATACCGCTATATAAAAATGAAAAATTCTAGAAAATATCACGATAAAATGTAAAAGATTTATACAAAAATTAGGGGGAAGACTAGACGAAACCATACACATCCATAAACACGATCTCTACCTTATAATACTACGAAAATAACAATGATTTTCTGCCTTAGAGGTGAAACGTATAAACAAATCAGATAGTATATAATCGCTTACACGATCTCTAACAAAAGTCTTGAACTTGATATTGAATGCCTTCGCAGCATTAGAAAATCATGTACATACATATATCCATACATATGTATGTACATATGTATATCTAGTTATATCTAGGTGTGGGGGAGCCCAAAAGAACATCGAACATATTCATTTGTTACTAAATGAAAAACTGAGGGAAAATATTTGAACAGTTGCCAACGAAAATTTATGCAATGCGCAGCAAACATCGGAAGATCTATACGATCTAGATCTATCCCCATCCACACGTACATATGTATGTTGTTTTCGAAAACAACACACAGTTTTGCTTTCCCGTGGCACACGAATTTTCCATATTCCACGGAGCAGGGCATTAAAAATATACTAATATACCACGTATATTTAATAACCGTTTCAGCAATCAAATAATATTCAAAGAAATATATGCAGAGATTAACTTTTGATACGTATTAAAATGCCGTACGGCAGCAGGCACCGCAGGATGCTTATATAATCCAGAACTGTCATCCCTCCCACTGGGCAGGGCACATTTTCGCATTTTCAATGTACTTTTCGTTTTCATTTTCAATTGCTGCGCGGCTCTCGAGTGGCGCTGAGATTACGTAAATTCTCCTCCCAACCAGAAGCTTTTTCTTTTATCTTGCAGTCGCCTTTGGGGGCTCGGTGCCTGTGTAGGATTTCCCGTAGAACAACGAACAGTAATACCCGACTAACAAGTGGGGGAAAGCGAAATCTACACTACACATGTATGTATATAGGGAGCGACCTTGAAACGCTTGCGAAACAAGCTTTAGATACGAGCAGATACAATACAATGGCAAATTTTCGTTACTGTTGACACACAGTTGGGAAAGCACTTAGCATGTGTGTGACATACTATATACTATCTAAATACATTTTATATACTCGACTCGTGTACGAGGTGAGCTGGGAAATGCATGTGACAAGCCTCTGCTTTGAGTGGAAGCCGCGCTTAATTCAGCCACCATGGAGAGAGAGCTTATTTACAAAGCCAGATGGGGCTTCTGTCCCATGTAGGTATTACTCGTAATCGTATCTTTATCCACACACATTCTATATATACGGGGGGAACTTGCATAACACTCTCATCGCGGTGCGGAGAGTAATTTTTAGTCACTGGACTGATTGCGGCTAGCAATGCTGGAGGCCAGGCCAGGCAGCCCGTCACTCTAGAATGGATTGCTAATTTGTGGGTCTGCAAAAAACGAGTGCCAAAAAATGAGCAAGCCATTTGAAATATGTGTTATTAATTAGTTCAATTTGCGGCCAGCCAAGCACCGCCCCCTTCCAGGTCAATTAGCTGTGAAATTATTGCTATAATGGAAAATGGTTTGCTTTTAGAGGGGGAGGGAGCCATGGCTAACTGTGCATGCATGGCAACAGATTATACAAAGTTTTATACATATATCGAATGCGATACACAAAATACACTTCACTTGTGTTGTCACCTTTGCATCTGTGTATTTGTTCTGGCCTTTTGTTTGTTAAACAATATTTTGGCAGCAGATCAAAAGCGACGCTTGCCAAAATCAATTTTTTGCACAGGCGCGAGCCAACAGAACGAACCCACACTACATATATATTATTTATCCATCTATTCAGCTATACTAGGTAGGGATATGGGAACATCAAATGAGACACCTAAGTGAGGGCCGCCAAATATGAAGACCGCTGTCCATCAGATCAGGAAATGGGTATTATGAAAGAGTGCCCAAAAGACATGAGGCATGACGTGGGCTCCTCTTGAGTCGCCCGAAATAAGCTCGCCGCGTCAGTTGTGGCAGCAGGAGACAACTGCGACTGCCACTGCCACTGCAACTGCACAGCCAATTTGCTGCACAAAAACAATAAAGCATATAAATTGTCGGGCCACAGCAGCGCTGTGACTGCGTCTCCAAATATAAATAAACTCTGCATGGGGGGAGATCATGTGACCTGACGACGACGACGACGTCGGCGACGCACAACGGAGGAGAGGAGTCGACGGAAGACAGGCCTCATAATGGCCGGACAGCGGCACATCATTTCAATTTCCATTTCATTTTGCATTTGGGTATTGTGTATTGGGCAGCTAGCCAAAAAGCTAAAAAACCTGATTCGGTGGGACCAGCAATAAAGCACTCGGCGCCTGGCCAGCGGCCACATCCTTGAACACCTGGCAAGGACAAGGCAAGTGGTTTGCGTGCCCCAAGGTTTCACATTTTGGGCAGTGGCTATGGCTGTGTCGCCAAACATTTGGTCGATTAATATTAATGGGAAATCAATTTTGTGCAATTAGAGGAATTGGAGAAAGAACAGATGGCCGGGCAGGGCTCATAAATAAACTGAAACTTGCACTTGCAACAGAGCCCAACTGCAGGAGAACGAAGGCGACGGCCGCCATGTGAGCTGTCCGCCCAAGCACAGAACATGAGACAAAAATAACACCAGGAAAATTGTAGTCGCCCCATCGCCACCGCCATCATCATCATCATCATCATGATCCAACATTTCTGCTGATGCCGCTGCATGGCAACGCATCAACGGGGACTTGGGTGCCGGGTCTCTTGTCGCCAAGCGGCTTCCACATGGCAACTATTTTTGCCAGCAGAAGTCACCAGAGTGCATTGAACCCGCCTCGCCTCGAGTCGGAGATGCGGAAATGGCCCCTTACACAGAAATATCAAATATAAGAACTTAAAAATCTACAAAAATAGGTGTAGCCGAGTGTGCAGGGTCCGCTTACCGCTCGCCAGCCTTCTGCGCCTCCTTGATCGACTGGATGAAGGCGTTCGACTCGCCCTTAATGAAGTCATTGCTAGCGTCTTTCAGCTCCTGGGGAACCTTGGTGGCTGGTTGCTGGGCATCGAATAGCTTCTTGTCCAGGCTGTCGCCGATTTGATTGCCATTAGTGGCATTGCCATTGGTGTTGGCCTCGGTCAACGATTTTGGCAACGGAATAGGCATCTTATCAGCTGTCTTTGGTGGAGTACTTGGTTGAGGTACTACGGTAGCAGGAACAGGCTTCGGTGGGGCAACCACTGGAGCAGGAGCAGGAGCAGGAGTGGGTTCAGGTTTGGGAGATGGTGCCGCTTCTTTAGGTGCAGCCGGTGCAGGCGCTGGAGCAGGAGCTGTGGCCGGTGTAGGCTTGGTTACAACAGGCGCCGCAGGTTTCGGTGGCTCTGGTTTTGGAGCAGGTACTGCTGCTGGCTTCGGGGCTGGTGCGGGTTCCTTAGCGGGTGCTGGAGCAGGCGCAGGAGCTGGATTCGCTGGCTTGTTGTCTAACGCGGGCGCTGCAGGCTTGTTGGAACTAAATAACCAAGCCAAACGCTTGCTACAAAAATAACCAAAAACAAAATAAAAGAAAATCATAATTAAACAACAAAATCAATTAAAGAAATTAAAATTTAACACAAACAACATAAAATGTAAGCCACGCCACAATTTCTACCATCTAATTTGCTAATTGCGAGTTTTTTCATACACAGAATGTTCTCGAACGTGCGGCGGCGGCAGCGGAGCACCCAGGCGTGCCAATGCGCCTTTTTCCGAAACAATGCATTGCAATTACCATTCATCTCGCCTTTAACTTTAGGCACTGCCCACAATTGAAAACGCAATTAATAGTTAACTTTTTACACTTTTCGCTTAGTTTTTTGCACAAATACAGCAGATTTGCGTATTTTTCGCTAGGATGATGACAGCAAAAGGGACGACGCAAAACAAGCGCAGCTCCCCGTTGCTTTAACTTCGCACTTTTGGCACTTTTCTTAGTTTTCAACTACAATTCGACTCACCTTCGACTTAAGACACTGCACACAAATGAAATTACAATTAATTGCTAATTATTTGACAATAAATGCTTGGATTTTGCGAAAATAAGGCAGATATGCGATCAACGCGTCTACTGCGGTGGGCGGATGAGAGCAAAAGGGACGATGAAAACCAAGCGGTAGTAGGATGAGAGCAAAAGGGACGATGAAAACCAAGCGGTAGGATGAGAGCAAAAGGGACCATGCAAAACAAGCAGTGTGACCTCATTTAGAGTCGTACAGGGTCACACTTGCAAAGCTTGATTTCAAGGCATCGATGTAGTCGATAGTCTAAGTCATCGAAGGATAAAATTCAAATTCAAATAGACAGATTTCCAGATTCTGTGCTTAAATTATTTTCGTACTCCTCCCCCTCTTAATAGTAAGCATTTCTACTGTCACGTAGGCCAAACGAGTGGAAGAAAGCGCAGAACTCGTGCGGCCAATAGATAAGCAAACAAATTCACACACACAACGATACCCGGCCGGCGTTTCATTTTTGCCCAATTCATACCGTGCCAAACCTTAATTATCACTTTCATTATTGCGCTAATTGCCGGCAGATAACACCAACTGGCCGTTTTGTTTGCCAAAATTGTGAATTCGGATTCGCATGGGCGAGTGAGAGTGTGTGATGTGGGTCGCTGGCGGTGCTGATTGCAGTTATCACGATGAGATTTAGAGCCAACTAGAAAAGCCGGTTGTTTCTGCTCAATTTTGCAGCAGGTGCTGACGGAAGCAGAGACAGATCCATCATGTGACTGTGTGCTTGGGTGAGGGTGAGTGAGTAACATTGTTGCCAAATGCAGGGAGAATTAGGTATGGTATACTCGTAGATAGCCAGTTAGCACCTCTCATCCCACGAATTGTGCAGAGGTAGAGAGGGAGTGGAGATTGGGGCTTAGATTGTATATAGACTGTTTCCGAGATGATTAGATTGTGGAGTTTTGCAGTTTTGGCGAAAATCGATAACAGGAAGAAAACCCTGCGATAACAGTTATCTGAGAGATTTATGGAGTGAATCAACGGTACGGTACTCCACACCAAACGTCAAACAACAGCAACAACAACAACAAAACAACTATTATGAGCAGAGTCGATCCTGTGTGGGGATCAGTTGGGAACTACTCATGAATATTGGAAATTCTCCATAAGTAGATATTATTATCTAATTTTCTAAATATTTTCCCAATTATATAGAACTCCATTATAAGCATTATAATTCTTTCCTTCCAATTAGTTAGAATTCTACATGCTTTAACACTGACCTGCAGTGTAGAAACAATGTCAATAATACATGTATCTTACACCAAGTTTACATACGCCCCGAAAAGCAGGCAACAAAAATAACACATTTTAATTAAATGGTCCCACTACTTACCGGATTTCATCGACAGCAAATGTTAAATACCACAAAGCGAACATTGTAAAATTTCAGCTGAAAATAGATGAAAATCGCAATTAGAGTGAGTATTTAGACTGATGAATATGTATTCATACGAATGAGTAGTATGTAGTATGCACGAGTAAGCTGTTAATTACACTACTCAACAAAATTAAACTTTTTCTTTGCGCTGTGAACCAAAATGACTTTTTCTGATAGATTTCGGAACTTAACAATTTTTTTAGTACTTAGTTTTTTTTATAGTTTAATTTTTGTTTAAGGAATTTTTGAAAGCTCAATATCTTCCAGGCGTTAAGCTGCAGATACAAAGTGTCTGGGTCGGATTTATAGCTGCATTTGTCAGCTTTTCAGAACTGCAACTGTTCTATGCAACCATATATAAGATACTTAAGTTATGTGAAAAATAAAAGCACTACTCTCTGAAAAAAAAACTGAACCATAAAAAAAAATCTATAAGAAAAAGTAATTTTGGGCCACAGCGTAAATGTCGTGTTGACTAGTGTTAGTTGGGATTGTTTGGGGCTGTAAATTGCAATTTCCACAACATGCACTTGTTGGAATGACACTGAAATGATGATTGACCTCGAAAGCGCAACAAATGACGTAGCCGATGAGTGTTGCAAAAATTCAATAAGCAGCAGAGACAGCCGAAAAGTTCGGAGCAACGGAGTGACACAGCTTTAATTAATTCTCGAGACGCAGATAAAAAGAGTATTTACAGAGGCACCAAAGAGTCGCAGAGCGCACAGCAAGACATGAGTGCAAATATGCCGGCGTTATTCAAGGTTTATTTATAGAAAACAGCGGGAACGGGTGCGAGAGTACCCCTAGGATTGCAATGGCGCGACTTCTGGGCAGTTAGCCAGACCATCCATTGGGAGACCAAAATCAATGCGGGCGAAAGTGCACTCTGAATGGCGCCGCAAACAAAGGCCGAAGCGAACGTCTAAATATAGGGATTGCCACCATCGATCAATTATTGCGGCTAATACCTGTAGGGATTTTGTTTACTCATCAGATTTATGCCCGAAAGTTTGGGTCTGGAAATTATGACAGCAGCGCCGCTGTGGTCTCTGTTTGTTTTCTTTCCAACTAAACGCGGCGTATGAGCAATTTGAGAGTGACACACAAACACAAACAGACACAAACAAACATGGACAGTTGCGTCACAGTCTGTGAGAGATGGGAACCATGCAGCATGCCACACACACACACCATACATTTGGGGGTTGAATGGGGGTGTAAACGAAGGCCTCTTTTGGGTCCACTCACCTTTTGCGCCTGATGGATAGATGGATGGGAGGACTTATAAAACAGTTGGAAAAATCTTCTAAGCTATGTTAACTGGGGGTTCGTTTTGGGGTAATACTCGTATCAAAAGGGGTTTTTTCGTATAAATGCCACTTCGAAGACCGTTCCGTTCCACAGCAGAGTAAATACTCGTATTTTGCTGATTTTATTAAAATTTCATTTAACCAAATTGAAAATGTTTCTTCTTGCTGCTGGCCTCTTGCTGGTTGCTGTTGAATGCTTCTTTAATTTTCGTTCGACTGTTCTGTGCAAAAATCAACTGCTCGACTCGCGGCGACGACGACTACGATGACTATGACTACGCCGGCGAAGAGCGAGGAGCATGGCCGGAGAGCGACACAGAGAGTAAGAGAGAGAGAGAGCATAGTGGAGAGCGCCGACGCCAATGTTTCCCCCGTTTCCTAGCTGCATTTCGCGAAGCTTTTCTCTTGAGATTGCCCCCCTAAAACCCCTTAAACCAAAGGCGCTATTTGCGTGTACTCTCGATATTGGTTCATTACTCATGCGATTACGTTATGGCCCGACTATGTGTATCGATAATGAAGCTAAGGCTGGACGAAAGGCTGCATAAATCAATAAGCGTAATATTTTTATTTATAGTAGCCGAGGATGAGGCAGTCGCGGTATTATTACAGCTGACTGGAGGGGTGCTGGTTACAGATCCAGACCACCGACCAGAACTATCTAATTTCTTAGCATTATCTGTCTGCTCTGCTGACGCCTTTCGCTGGCTGTCTCTTTGTCAGATAAGCCATTCGGAGACAGAGCTAGTCGTCATTCATTAAACAGCACTATCTGATTGAAGAGTCAACTATCTTAATTCCTCCAGAGAATGACGCTTATCATCGGTTTATTGCCGCAGTTTGGGAGCCACTGGGATGCACATCTGGGCATGCAGCCCAGCCTCCGTGGCCATGTTGCATAACTTGCAACTGCTTACATAATACAAGCACCGAGATAAAGCTGAGGACGAGACCAAAAACAAGGTCAAAAGTTCAAGGACTGAGAAAAGCTCTCACCCACGAAGCATTTGCGTCAAGCGGAAGTCCTCAAGGTTTATATGTATGTATGTGTGTGTGTGTGTGTGTATGTGTTGATGTTTTGGTTGTGTAACAGCTGCTAGAGGACTTTACCATCCCATCTACATATGTACGGAAGGGGCTAATTAGCCTTCTTAGGAAGCTTTCGAAATTAATTATATTTTTATTTGGATTTTTTAACATTTGATTTTTATTGATTTTTCAATTGAATGCATTTTGCTTGCTACGTAATTGGTTTATAATTTGTTGCATGTCTTAATGTTAATGATATATTGCATATGCCACAAAAACTGTTGCTGGCCATTTGTTTTTATTTTTATTTTTTGTTGTAATTTTAAGCTTTAATAAAATCTTGCAGAAATCATAGACATGGCCAATCAGATTGAAATAAAATGTTTTCATCCATTGATTTAAAGCGTTCTATGTGCATTTAATTGTTGTTGTTGGTTTTGTGTGAGTATTTACTACATTTGAATATAATTTAACATTGGTTTCAATTTCTCTGGATAAAATCAGATTCAATATAACTAAAATAATTCGTTTCACACTGCTGCCTCTGCTTTATAATTGTATTCCTGCTAAGCTAACTATCGTACTACTCGATCGGTGTCGATCTGTTAATCATTATATCATTCCTGATGGTCCTTTCTAATCAACATCTTTATCTTTATCTTCATCTTCAGCTTCGTTCTCTTCTGGTTCTTAACTCTCTTTTTTGTTTTGTTTTGTTTTTGTTTGGAAAAGTTGTTAACATTCTTTTGTTGGTCGCACATGTTTCGCATTGGCTTTTTCTTCTTCTTGTTGTTGTGGTTGTTTTTTTTGTTATAGTTGTCTGTTGTTGTTGTTGTTTGTAGTGTTGGTGTGTTCTTCTTGTTTACCATCTTGTTTTTATCACAGCTTTCTTCACTTTTGCTCTCATAACTTTTAAGCATAACTTGCATATATGTACATATTGTACATTTATAAATCTTGTTGTTAATAATGCACGGCTGTTTTTGTTTTTATCGTCTTTCTTTTGCTATATCATCACACCCCTGGAGCGCCCAATGTTTTCGTGCTCCTTATATACTCATTTCATATACATATATTAACATGCTTGCTGCTCGTTGGTGTTCTTTCTTTTCTCTCTTTCGTTCTGCTCTCAACACTTATCTTAAACATTGTTGTTACTGTTGTTTTTTTGCTGCATTTTTGTTGCTGCTGGCTAGCATAAATCGCATTTGCTTTGTGGTGTACAATGATTTACATTTGTTTTGTGGAATGATTTACAAAAATTGGTTTCCTTCTCCTCTCGAATTCAAATTTAAATACAATAAATGGCATATAAAATATATATATTTTTGTTGTTGTAGTAAGTATACAAAAAGAACGTTACGTTACGTTGCGTTATGCAGCGTTGTTGGAAGTGACTCTAGTGTAACACAAAATTATAATACTCTTCATACTTTACGTTGATTGTAACTGAATAAATCCATTGATTGACGCACCGACCGAACGACCGACCCAGCAATGAAGACTGAGAGATCAAGTGCTCGATCATTCATCAGCTGGTCCGGTCGTCCCCTGATGGCACTGGATGTTCTTTTCGTTCTTTTCGGAAGCAGCATGACACTTTTATCACATTTGGTTGTTGTTTTTGTTGGTGTTGTCGCTTGGTTGTTGCGGTGTTGGTATGTACTAGACTTAAATTAACTACAGTTGTTGTTTAGCATACGTACATGCATAGATTGCTTGGTTTTCCCTGTGATTTACACTCGATTTACAAATTAATATTCGCTATTGCAATCCATAACAAAAACGATTACATGCATAGGTTTACAGATACAGAGATACATACATATAGTACAAATATAGATGGTCGATTGGATAGTTGTTAGAGTTGTCTTTGAGATCGCATTTGATTTTTTGCGGCTTGTCCAAGAACTCGGTGCTGTCTCTCCCCCTCCCTCTCCTGCATTGCTCCGACAAACATAGCCAACGCACTTTTTGTGAGTGTTTCTTTGTCGTTCAGTCTTCTGTTTCAATAGATTTTGTTTTGTTTAGATTGTTAAATTTGAGCAAGTGCTTTGTGTCTGTTGTTGTTGATGTTGTTCTCTAAATGCTCAACATGATCTTCAGGTACCATTGTTGTTGTTGTCGTTGTGGTTGTACTTGTTGTTCGGTGAGCAACATTGGGAGCACCAGCAGTAGCATCTATCGCCTTGAGCTCTGGACAATACGCTGCTGTTTTGTGCAAACATAGGTAAAATATAGTAGTACATAGTTGTATAAATGAATGCCTGTGCTACAAAATACTTAAAAGTTGGTTTTGGGTTTTACATTTTGCCATTGCCATTGCCATATTGCTATTGCTTTTGCTTTTGCCTCAGGCCGTGAACACGCATCGCATGGACAACAACGCACGGCAGCATCGTTTTAGCCCTTAGACATTTGGCTATTACAATATTTATATATACTATATATAAGTGAGTGTTTCTCTGTGAGTGTGTGTATGTGTTTCTGTCTGTGTCTGTGTGTGTGTATGTGTCTGTGTGTATTGCAATCGTTTACAATTTTTCTGTCCTTTTTTGTTTGCTGTCATAATATCACTTGAAACTAGACAAATGGCGGCGGCGCTTTGCGAACGAGGATCGTACTCTCGTTGTTGTTAATACATTTGTTGTTGCCTTTGTCGTGTCATGTTCTTTGTCATCCAGTTTATCACAATTGAGCGCCGTGTTCACATTTACATATTCACATTATTACAGAGGTTAACAATTTGTGCCAATTGCGTTTTGAGCAAACAATTTGACATTGGTCGTACTTGGTATTACAAAGTTGCTTTCTTTACCAAACTTTACCACATTCTTTCGTTACATCTTTAAACTTAGCTAACTAGACGAATCAATTCGCTTAACAATTTTCTTGGGGTTTGTTGTGGTGTCTGATGCTCACACTGGCTCGCTCTTGCATTCGATTCGTGTTCGTGCTCGTGTTCATGTTCGTATTCGTATTCATAATCGCATTTGCTTTTGCTTTTGCTTTGAATCACAGTTCTTGTTGCTTATAAAATGATGTTTCTTCTAGCAGTTTTTAACAAACACATTCTGCCCATCTGCTTTACATAAATTACATTGATTTGTGGCGTGCTCAAGTCTTTTTGCTTTGCTCCTAACATTCTCTAGCTCCCTGCTGTCGCCTTCTGTCCAACGAACAAAACTTGATGGCGATTTTGATTATACAAATTTAAAACTTAAATGTTTTCCTTCTATAAAATGCTTGCCAATCCAATCAATTTGCAGTTTACATTTACACACTTTTCATAACTTAGGATATACGCATCTGTATGCGCGGTCAATTTAGCCTTCGCTTTTGTCATCATTAAGTTTTGTTTTAGCTACGTAATTAGAAGTTTCATAATGTTTAAGTTAATTTCTACGCTCTCGAGTTGATCACGGGGTCATGTCGGTTGTTTTTCGCCTTTACTTTATGACTTTGCTTCGATTTTTGGTTATGTTTTGCTTGAGTTTTCTGCTGCATCCACTTACTAGCCGAGATCCTGGCGCAACATCTCGTATACGAACTGATCGCGTACTTCATAGTCTACGGGGCCATAGGACAGCGACGGAGGAAGTTGATCTATTCTGATGGGTGCCCACTGTTGGCCCAGCAGGGAGCAGATTTCCTAAGGGAGAAACACGCAGATCATGCCAGATGCGTAGATGATGGGATCATCATTGGGTACTCACCTCATTGTAGGCATTCAGCGGAGCCATGGACCAGTCAATCATGGAAACCTCTAGACGCTTCAGCTGACGGCCTCGCAAACGGGCAATGCCCACCAGATTGTGCGGATCCATCAGATAGCCGTGGACTACAATCTCCTCCAGACGCATGCAACGCCAGGCCATCATTACAAAGGGGTCCTGGCGCAGAAAGTTGTGACGGGCGTAGTCCAAGCGATTGTTATTCTTATACGCCGAGTCCATATAGTAGATGCTCCGCAGCGTGTCCTTATTGTTCAGCGACATCCAGTCCAGGGCCTCAGCATTCATGAACTCACAGAATAGCAGTCGCACATGGGTCACTGGCATGTGCCGACGCAGGACACGAGTCTGCAGCAGCTCAATGGCCTCGTATGCGTACACCAAGGTCAGCACTAGGTCAATGCTTGTGAAATGCCTGGCAAAGTTGGCCCACGCATACTCCGAGACACTGGCCTGCTCCTCGCTGTCCAGGCCATGGACTACGATGATAAATTTTCGGAGTGGTAGCACCTGGATGGTGTGCAGCAGCTCATCGGTGAGCGTGTCGTAGTCCAGGGACAGCACCTGAAGATTAGCGCACTTCTGCAGCAGCGTTATGTCCAGCGAGAGTATTGGATAGTGACTAGGATCGTACTTAAGGCTGGCCAGTGTCAGCTGCTGCAGTTCCTGTGGCTTGCCACAGGACCTAAGCAGGTCCTGACCGTAGTAGGTGAGTGCTTCAATGGCACCTAGATCCAGCAGATGACAGGGCTTGCACTTGCGATTAAGAAATAACTTCAAAGGTTCCACAAAGCATCTGCGGGAGTGAAAGAACATTGGATAATCTGCCTTGTGCCACTGTCTGGCGTAATGCTTACTGTTCTATGGCCACGATGTGATCACTGTGCATATTTCCAACCGGCAAAAGTCCTACATTGTGGGTTTGGAAACGCAGCGCTTGGATATTTTCACAACGAGCCACTCTAAAGAATGGAAGAGAGTGGTTACTTGGGTCATAGCTCCAATATTCATAGTACGTACTTGCAAATAAGTCGCCGCATCTTCTGGATCTGAAATGCATTGTGAAAGTCAAAGACAATGACCAGCTCTCTGGCCAGATGGGCCATACTGCGGTGGAAGAAGGTTAACTGATCATCGCGCGCCACATCGATTTGAAAGCGAAAGTTTCTAAAGTATCTGTGGGGTTGGAAAACGAATTTTACTAGTTTATTGCATTGAACGTTGAAATTCAAATATATTGCGCCCTACTCTATTTACAACACTAAAATAAACAAATAACCAGAGTTGTTGCAACGTTTCCACTGCAATAAACAAAAAACCAGAGTTGTTGCAACGTTTACAAATAGAGGTAGCTATGAAACGTCATCCACAACTCAAGGGTCATTGACTGTCCCCCAATTTTCGGGGCCCTTGTGTATTAAATAAACTCATTTCCATATACAATGAAATATATGTTTCAGCCATATACAAATTAACCCAGCCCACACACACACACACACACATGCACACGCACACAAACACACACACAACTGCATGAACTTACCGTTTTTGAAAGAATATTTGTCTCCAGGTGTAGCAAACACTTGCTGCCGACCTTCTGTCCTGGGGCTCCAGATAGTCGAAAATTTGAGTTAGCGCCACTGCTGGTATTGTCTGCCATGGTGGGTGGCTTTGGCATAAATTCATTACTTTTTCTTAATTTATTGCGTTTCAAACAATGAAAAATTGCGTTCAGCGTGACCAAAAAATAAACACCATTAAATACCAATTCAGGTTCGAGAAATACCATTTAAATACCATACCATAAAAAACCAGGGCAGTCCGGCGATCAAACGAGACTTAACCCAATTAACACCCCTTTATTTAAAAAGTTGAGCACCCTTTGTTAAACCGCGGAAAATAAGACTGTTTGTAAAGACTCCCAGTAGCTCCATCCTCCTCTTTACTTACAAAACAAAAATCACCACCGACATCTTTCACCTGAACTGCGCTAGAATTGTTCAACTTTCATAGTTTTCCTGCGTAAATTAAAATACCCCTTGGTCGACAATGGGCTAACGTTCGTTTCGGTTGATCAGAAACCATATTTCTCGATTTTGATTTTCAGTTTAAAATATTAATAGTAATCAGTAAATAGTAGCTAGGACACATAGTTTTATCCGATTGATGAATCAATTCTCTACAAGATTGGTTGATTTTAAGGACTCCCTCTTATATTTTTTATAAAATAAGGTTTAAACAAAAGAGGCAACACAATATAGAAGCATACAACGTAAGTGGCCATGAAATGATTTGTCATTTGAAAACTTGTTGCTTGTCAACCGGTAGTATAGACATCTTTATACCCTAATTCTTTTAATTAGCGAGCGGTTCTAGCGACTATTCTGTGCCGTAAACTAAAAGCTATATATTTATCGCTTTCCCTAATACCAATAGAAGGAAACAAATAAAATTGAGTTTTGGGTGAATTTAATTCAACTATGTACACTAATTATAAGCTAAGAGTATGGTTTACAAGTTACAAAATATTATCCGCCCGTGGTCCCTGCCAAATAGATATCCATGGCCTCCTTATTCAGGTGGACCGTCGGGCGTCGCCTGGGTATCGGCTGGATGTGTGGCAACCGCGTCCCATTCACTGCATTCAGACTCAGGTTTGAGTTGGGATCATCGTCATCGCTCACATATGAGCTTTGCGATGACTGTGTGACATGCTGTGTCGCTGGCGGTGGATTGGATCGCTTCCGTTTTTCGGCCGCCGCCGCGCTAGTTGTGGGCATGTTGTCCTCGCTAAGAGTTGTAAGGACGGGCACGGGGGTTGGTCGTCTAATTGCCGCTGTGGCCGTCGCCAATCTACGTGGGACGGAGGTGGACGTCGTCGAGCTGTTGTCCGAGGAGTTGGCTTGTCGCTGACTTGAGCTCACGTCCGAGACGCTCTCGGCCTGCTTCCTCTTTTGATGCTGTCGCGCATTATATGCCTTATATTTGTAGATTTCCTCCAGTTTATCGTAACAAACCTGACAGAGTGGCATATCGGGCCGCAGTTCTGAATTGATCTGTTGTGCAAAGTGGAGAACTTTTCGATCAGTCACCCTGGTGTATGGCGCTCTGAGCATATGGTTGCCCATGCCGCAGTATCGACGCCCGAGCGGGCTCGATCTGTCGGGCGATTCGGGTGCATGGACCCGTGACCCTGCCAAAGAGATATCCATGGCAGCCTTATTCAGGTGAACCACCTGGCGTCGCTTGGGTATCGGCTGGATGTGTGGCATCCGCGTCCCATTCACCTCATTCAGGCGCACGTTCGAGTTGGGATCATCTTCATCGCTCACATATGAGCTTTGCGATGACTGTGTGACATGCTGTGCCGCTGGCGGTGGATTGGAGCGCTTCCGTTTTTCCGCCGCCGCTGGCGGTGGATTGGAGCGCTTCCGTTTTTCGGCCGCCGCCGCGCTAGTTGTGGGCATGTTGTCCTCGCTAAGAGTTGTAAGGACGGGCACGGGGGTTGGTCGTCTAATTGCCGCTGTGGCCGTCGCCAATCTACGTGGGACGGAGGTGGACGTCGTCGAGCTGTTGTCCGAGGAGTTGGCTTGTCGCTGACTTGAGCTCACGTCCGAGACGCTCTCCGCCTGCTTCCTCTTTTGATGCTGTCGCGCATTATATGCCTTATATTTGTAGATTTCCTCCAGTTTATCGTAACAAACCTGACAGAGTGGCATATCGGGCCGCAGTTCTGAATTGAGCTGTTGTGCAAAATGGAGAACTTTTCGATCAGTCACCCTGGTGTATGGCGCTCTGAGCATATGGTTGCCCATGCCGCAGTATCGACGCCCGAGCGGGCTCGATCTTTCGGGTGATTCGGGTGCCATCTCCTATTGAAAATACTATAATTATTATGTTCCAATGCTTTTTTTTCCCAAGACTTACTGTGTTGTGTGTAGTTTTTCCCGCCGATTTAGACGCCGTACGCAGCTGTAAAGTGTGACCAGCGCATTTATCGATCAATATACCGAAATATGTTTTGTCGAGACTTTACGTTTTTTGACACTCGTAGGGTTAATGGCTTGTAACAAAATACTTAACTATTAAACAAGAATTTTTTGTATTCATGAAATTTCGTGTAGCGTAGCTACTTGCTATTTTGTGTGTAGTCAGCTGGACGGCACCGATAACGATAAGAAATACCATCCGTCCAAAAAACATATACAATTAAAATCAATTCAGTTTCGAGATATACCATTTAAATAAAAACCAGGGCAATCCGGCGATCAAACGAGACTTAACCCAATTAACACCCCTTTATTTAAAAAGTTGAGCACCCTTTGTTAAACCGCGGAAAATAAGACTGTTTGTAAAGACTCCCAGTAGCTCCATCCTCCTCTTTACTTACAAAACAAAAATCACCACCGACATCTTTCACCTGAACTGCGTAAAATATGTTAAATTACATAAATTTCGTGGAAATATTAAATACCCCCCTGGTCGACAATGGGCTAACGTTATATGTTATTTATTGAAATCGTATTCCATAATTTTGACTGAGTAGTTTCTGCATTAATTGGAGCCTGAAATTACAAACAATATCTGTATTCTATAATATCCATTTTGAATTTTGATTTTCAACACGATTTGAGAGCGAAAAATGTCAGTATATTTGTGCGCTAAATGGAGTTTGGCGGTCATTTTGAAAAGTATGAGTACGGCAACGCTGAAAGCGCTAATTGCTGAACAGCTGACCATCAGCTGTAGAGCAAGAATTGTTTTGTTTAATTTTTTTTTTGAAATGACAACGTTGCTGCGTGCCTGCCGACGGCCAGCCATTGCGGGCACATACAGCAATGTCTACTTACGGGGAAGCACACCAAACGGCACGTACGATCGTCGACTGGCATCAACAGAAGCGGCGGCGGCAAGTGTCCAACTTGCCAATGCCGGCGGACTAGTCGGATTCTGGCAGACTCTGTCGAACAGCCCGCCAGTGGCCTATATGCAGGATGCACTTATCCAGATCCACGACTACAGTGGCCTGACCTGGTGGTCCTCCATTGTGCTGTCCACGTTCCTGTTTCGAGGCGTTGTTACGTTGCCGCTGACGATATATCAGCACAAAATTACGGCGCGAATCGAGCGGATAGCCCTGGAAATGCCGGCCATAGTGGAGGAGCTAAAGCGAGAGGCTGCGATGGCCAAGCAAAAGTTCAAGTGGAGCGACAAGCAAACGACAATCGTCTACAGGCGTTCGGTTTGCACAAGAGATGAAATTTCATTGATCAATTGCTAATTCCCCTTCCTTGCAGATCAAGAAGCAATGGCAGAGCCTGATAGTGCGCGACAACTGCCATCCCATGAAGACAATCATCGTGTTGTGGGGTCAGATTCCCCTGTGGATTTTCCAGTCCGTCGCACTCCGCAATTTGGTCTACATGTTGCCGGATCCGACCACACTGCAAGCGCAGATAACCGCCACAGAAATGACAATTGGCGGCTTTGGCTGGATACCAAATCTCACGGTGGTGGACAATTCCTATATACTGCCAGTGGCCCTGGGCCTCCTCAATCTGGGCATCATAGAGCTGCAATCGATGACGAGAACACGTGCGCCCACGCGTCTGCAGAAGATTGCCAATAATGTGTTTCGTGGACTGAGCGTCGTGATGGTTCCAGTGGCCTGCACCGTGCCCTCGGCTCTCTGTGTGTACTGGGTGGCCTCCAGCACCTTTGGCCTGGCCCAAAATATTCTGCTTCTCTCCCCAGAAGTGCGACGGGCAGTGGGAATACCCAAAACCCAAACGGAACTGAGCCAACCCTACGATCAGATCTGGCTAAAGATGCAGCAAAGAGTGGGACTGGCTGAGCAAACGCCGCCAGCAGATAAGCCGGCAGCCAAGTGATCCAATCTCCCCCATACCCCTAGGCTTAGTCATCTAGTCTAAATTAGGTGAGACATAAGTTGTTTGTTGAATGCCTTGAATGCCTTGACCGTTGTGTAAATATAAGCAGAGCAGCAGTAAAATGCATCAAGAGTCCACGCGTCTCTGCGCCACTGTAAATCATCATCACATCGCGGATGAGCATCCATTATCAGCAGTGGCAGAGCAGCAGCTCCATAAATACAAATATGTGAGGGAAAAACCCTCCCAAAAAAATAATACAAACAAAATGCAGCGATAAGCCAGTAAAAGGTCTTGAGATTACTAAAACAGACAATTCCAGACTCAATTGGCTGTGCAGCGAGAGCCTCATGAGCATCTATCAGCGAGCAGGGAGCATGTAGCAGAGATAGAGATTCCGTACTTCCAATTGAATTGAAATGCGAGCGGCTGAGTCAGTTGAGGCTGAGACTTGAGCGGGACCACAACTGAAAACTGAAATTCGATCGCGTTTCGGGCTAAATCTTTCAAAAGTCGCTATCAGTATCTGTGTTGCATATAGGAATAAACATATACATATACTTTATATAAATATATAGTCAAAGGAAACATGGCCAAGTGGCTTTTGGGCCTTTGGTTGGTGCTCTTGGTGGTGAGTGTTAGTATTGCGCGAATATCTTGTAGGGAAAAGGAATATTCAGAGCCCTCTCTGGGGCATCGATTACGAAATAGTTTGCCAATCGCAAACAGGAAGTGATTGCGCATTTTAATTGATCCTAATTACAAGCTTACAAGCCCCAAAGATCAAATTCAATTGATGTTTTCAATAATACGAGTATTTCATAATTGTGCCTTCGACAGGGGCATGGGGCGAATGCTTATCATTCTGGCGGCTACCGGACGACAGGCGGCGATCAGGCGGAACAAGCCGGGTTATCGGCAGGGCACTCGATGCACGGCAGCAGCGGGAACATTCAAGAGCAGCCCATCTACGAACGGCCATCGGTAGGTGGAGGAGGAGCGGGAGGAGCCTGTCCCGCGCAGTTCTCAGGAGTGGTGTCCTATCCCTATGACTGCCATCGCTACGTGAACTGCCACAATGGCAGCCCCACCATCCAGACCTGTGCACCCGGCACCCTGTTCAATGCCGCAACCCTGGTCTGCGATCATCCCAGCAATGTGGCATGTGCAGCGCCAGCGGGAGCAGCAGCAGCTCAGCCGAATCGATCGGCGCGCCTGAGGGAAGTGGACGCAGAGCCGAGGTGTACGCCCGGAGTGATTGGATTGCAGCCACATCCGACGGATTGCACAAAGTTCCTCAACTGTGCCAACGGACAGGCCTTTGTGCAGGACTGCGGACCGGGCACGGCATTCAGTCCGTCCTCCCTGGTCTGTGTCCACAAGAGCACCGTCGACTGTGGGGCAGAAGCTCCGGCCGGACACGGTACGTATGCTTAATGCTCGCCCCCAATGCTTTTCCCCTAACTAACACTCGGGTTAGGCTACCCCCAAGTCTCCGCGGAAGTGCCCAGCTGTCCCCCCGGTCTGCGTGGGCGGCATCAGCATCACCATGATCCGCACAAGTATCTGGTATGCGGCATCGGTGTCCAAGCGAGGGTAGAGCAGTGTTCCCCTGGGCAGATCTTCGATGCCCACCGATTGGTATGTGTTTTTTCAGCCTCCTCCTCCCAGTCGTCCTGTAAGTCGAATTCCATTTCTGATCTTTATTCCGCTTTGCTTTGCTTTGCTTTGCTTGCGTTCATCTGCTTTTTCATTTGGGTTTGGCTTCTCATTGCTTTTGCCTTTTGCCTGCTTTTGATCTTTACTGCTTGCTACATCTTGTGAAATTATAATCCTTACTTACCCCAATGCCCTGTCCCAGCTGTTGCCTTCACATCCTCGGAGCTTCACGTCAGCGATCTCCTGTGCCCAGCTGGAGCGAAGGGTCTCTTTGTGCATCCCTTCGATCAGACCAAGTTCCTCAACTGCCAGGCCGGAAAGGTGGCCGTTCAGAGCTGCCAGCCCGGCTTCGTGTTCAGCATATCCAAGGGGTATTGTCATCTGAAATCTCAGCTGGCATTCGGCGATTATGTGACTTATGTTATCTCTGAGACTAGCTTCGAGTATTGTGAGTGCCCCGATCTGGTCGATCTGCCTGCCATCAGTTCCTTAAATCAGTTCACTCTCTCAGCCCTGATGCTTACTGCATGTCCTGATGGCCTGGAAGGACTCCATCTCTATCCCTACGATGCTGGCAAATATGTGCGCTGCTTCGCCAGTGGCCAATTGTCCATCCTCGACTGTGGGCCACAGAATGCCTTCAGCTTGTCGCAAAGAGATTGTCGGCCGCGCCGTCAAGTGAACACTGGGGACCGGGTCAAGTTTTGGGAGGAAATAGAAGTTCAGACGACCACCTATAGCTACCAGCAGAATCAGAGGGCGTCCCTGCTTAAAGATTGCCCCCTCAACCTGCAGGGCAACTACCCCTATCCCTTCCATGCGGGTCACTTTGTCAAGTGCCAGCAGGGGCTGCTCCAGGTAGAATTCTGTCCAGCTGGCTTCGTCTTCAGTCTGTCCCAGCGCGTGTGTGCGGCCCGCCAGCTCCTCCCTGCCCATGACTATCTGGATTATTCCTACATCAGCGTTGAGTTCTCCAGTAAGCCAAAGCCCCAACCCGACTCTGCGTTGATCCGAAGTGACCCTCTCCTTTCGCAGCTGAATTTATGCAGGATTTAACGGCGGTTACATGTCCTCCCCAGAGCAGGGGCTACTACCTGCATCCCTTCGACTGCACCAAGTATCTCAGGTGCCTCGATCAGCAGACAGTCATCGAAAGCTGCCCGCAGGGACAGCTGTTCAGCATCTCCATGCAGCGATGTGTGGCCCAGGATCAACTGGCAGCCAACTACGATCGTGTGGAGTATCTGCGGGAGGCGCAACACGAACTGAGTGAAGGTGTCGCGGGACGACAGTCGCATGGCAAGAATCTGAATGCAAATGGCGATGCTTCGTGTCCTCCCGGGGCCACTGGTCTGCAAGCCCATCCGCTCGACTGCACCAAGTTCCTCAACTGCGCCAATGGACAGACCTTCGTTCAGAGCTGTGGGCCGGGAACTGCATGGAGCACGGCCAGCGGCACCTGTGATTTTGCCTTTAACGTGGACTGCAGCGGCCGGAGTGGAACAAGTCAAGCGCCAGCCCAGCCGAGCGGTCCAGAGCATATCTACGCCCCCACGCAGCCTACCAGTAAGTCGAATTCTTTCGCTTTATTCCTGCTTTCCTGCTTTATTCATCGCTTTTCCATCTGGGTTTGTGCCACCATTCGGCCATCCATTCTTTGCTCGCTACTTTCCGCATGAACTCTAATCCGTGTGCCCCCTCTCAGCCACGCCTTCCACTGCTGTGGAAGCTCTCGAGAATGCTGGCGATCTGCTGTGCCCCGCTGGCGTGGATGGTCTCTTTGTCCATCCCTTCGATCAGACCAAGTTCCTCAATTGTAGGGCCGGAAAGGTGGCCGTTCAGGGCTGCCAGCCCGGCTACGTGTTCAGCATATCGAAGGGGCAGTGCCAGCTCAAGTCCCAGTTGGTCTACTCCGACTATGTGGCGTACATCGTCTCGGAGATCAGCTACGAGTATTGTAAGTCATCGCATTGGGGCCAAGTCTTTCCACTCACCACCCTCTGACTCTCCCAGCAATGATCCTGTCCGCTTGTCCGGCTGGCACCGACGGCCCCCATCTCTATCCCTACGATGCTGGCAAATTTGTTCAATGCTCCGCTGGCAAGATGTCCGTGCTCGCCTGTTTCCCGCAGATGGCCTTCAGTCTGTCGCAGAAGGCTTGCCGGCCGCGGGGTCAAGTGAATGGCGGAGATCGCGTCAAGTTCTGGGAGGAGCTGCAGGTTCAGACCACGTACAGCTATCAAGACACTCAGACCTCGCCATCTCCGCTCAAATCGTGTCCCCGAAGTCTCCAGGGCAACTACCCCTATCCCTTCCATGCGGGTCACTTTGTCAAGTGCCAGAATGGGCTGCTCCAGGTGGAATTCTGTCCAGCTGGCTTCGACTTCAGTCTGTCCCAGCGCGAGTGTGCGGCCCGCCAGCACCTCCCTGCCCATGACTATCTGGACTACGAATACCTCAGGGGCCAGTTCTCGAGTAAGCCTTCTGAAACTTGTTGATTCTTTGCCACTGATTCGAGCTGCAGCCTCTGCCTCCCTCCCCACCCAGCTGACTTTATGCAGGACCTCACAATGATCACGTGTCCGCCCCGCACCCACGGCTACTATCTGCATCCCTTTGACTGCACCAAGTATGTGATCTGCTGGGATGAGCAGACCGCCATCGAGAGCTGCAAGCAGGGCAAGGTGTTCAGCATCTCGCAGCAGCTGTGCGTGGCCAGGGATGAGGTGGCGGCTGCCAACGATCGCGTGGAGTATCTGAGCGAGACGCAGCATGAACTGAGCGAAGAGGCCGACGCAGAGGCGCCCTTGCCAGGCAGGGCATTTCCCCTCCCACTTGACGGTGGTGGCTATCAGCCACAACCCTCAGCACCTGCGCTTGACGGAGCTTACGGGGAATCGCAGGGCAGAGGCGGCTACCCACCACAACCAGCTGCACCTGGATTTGGGGGGGAAAATCAAGCATCGTTTCGGAGCGGCTTCCAACATGCCGGAGGATACACGCCACAGCAACCTGTACCCGTACCTGTCCTTGGCGGAGGATACTCGCCACCGCCAACCGCACCTGCAGCTAGCGGAGGATACCAACCAACTGGAGCTACCTACTTGGGCGGAGGATACGGGCAGTCGCAGGGCAGGAGCTACCCGCAAGAAGGAGGCTACCAGCCCGCGCCTGCTGCTTTGCTGTGTCCGGCCAGAGTGACGGGCCTGTTCCCGAATCCCTTTGATGCCATGGGCTATCTGCATTGCCTGGAGGGACACACTCTGCCACGGAGATGTTCGAGCGAGGATGTCTTTAGCATTTCGCGCGGTTTTTGCGTGCCTCAAGGGCAGGTGGCCCGCTGGGATCGCATACAGCATAGCCAGCAGAGATCCGTGGAGGAGGCTGCCTGTGAGTAGCACCCACCAAACCCCCTCCAATCGAGTTCCAAATTGTGTCTGACGAGCCTTTGGCCTTTTGCCTTTTGCTCCCCTTGCAGCTGTGAGATGTCCGACGGGTGCCAGTGGCTACTTTGTCTATCCTTTCGACTGCTCAAAGTTCGTGAGCTGCGGGCCAGACGGAATGCTGCTGACGAGCTGTCCCGCAGACCAATATTTCAGTGTATTCCACGGTCTGTGCCAGCCCAAGGAGCAGGTGAAGCGCGAGGATCGCCTCTACACGCACACCGAGCTGCTGATCATCTACGAATGGACGCAGCAAATGAAGGCCGAGGGTGCCATTCCCGTCTGCCCAGTGGGGATCGGTGGTTCCCTGCCGCATCCGCGCATTGCGAGCAAGTTCATCAGATGCCAGCCGGGGCAGGCCGAGATCTACGACTGTCCGAGTGGGCAGATTTTCAGCATTTCCCGTCGATTGTGTGTGCCGGACGCCGAGCTGCCCAGCCACGATCGCTGCGATTACATCGTCGGGGGTGAAGGGGAAGCCTCCTATGGAGGCTGGAGGGATCAGCCGAATGGTTACTAATCCTTTGCTGGTGTTCGACTCGTGCTAACTGCCTCTCCTCTCACTTGCAGACCATCGCCAGTCCAAGACGTACGAGACGGCTGGCCAGGATCCGTGGGGCAACCATTATGTGGCCAGGACAACGACCACGACGCGAGTGGTGGGCGAGGGCGATCGTTGGAGGGACATGAATATGCAGCGTCCTCCGGGCATCGGCTTCCAGCACAGTCCCCAGTACCACGGCTGGTCCGGCCAGGGCAGCTCCTACGCCCATCGCAGCCCCACCCAGAGGGTGCTCTATGTGGAGAGTTCGCTACAGCCCAACCGTAATTATCCTACATCTAAGACTCCTCTGGCCCCCATGGCTCCCAGCACTCCTCTGGCCCCCATGGCGCCCAGCACTCCTGGCCAGGTGTTCTACGCCGAACCCGTTGAGCAGGAACAGAACCGACGAGTACCCGCTCCAGGCAGCAGTCCCAACTACAGCCCCAGGGTGGATCATGGCTCACCAGCACCCCCCAACAGATGGCAGCCCATTGCCCCGAACCAAACGCCATCAATGCCTCCACTCGCTCCGCTCGCTGGACAACAGCCCCTAGACCTCGACTATAGCCCCGACAATGCACCGACATACAATCAGCATCAGCCCAGTGGCCAGCCCAGGGACCTCCATTCCAGAACTCCTCCAGCAGGACAGCAGCCAATCGACTTGAACTACAATCCACAGGAGCCTCAGACCTATCCTCAAGCACCCAATCGGGGATTGCTGCCACCCAATCGGGAGCCCGATCAGCTGCCCAGTGAATCCCATCAGATAGGCACCCGCTTCAATCCAAGTGCCCCACTGCAGCCCCATTTAGCCAGTCCCAGCAGTCGGGCAACTCCTTCCGATGAATCGAATCTCTATGGGGGTTTGCTGCCTCCCAGTCCCAGTCCCACTCCCAGTTCCAGTCCGAGTCCCAGTCCGATACCGACAACAAAGACGCCCCCGAGGCTGCACACGTATCCCATCTATCCGCGCATAGCCAATGCCTCGGTGCCACAGAGTGGCAGTCAACCGCATTATAGTCCCTCGTATGCGGGCATCGCCCATTCGCGTAATGCCTCCTGGGCCAAGGGGTCGTCAGTGGTAACCAGCACGACGACAGCCGACCCCGACTACAGTCTGTTCGGCTCTGACGACGATTTTGACTACGATGAGACAGATCTCCCCAGGGGCGATGAGCAACCAGAGACGACCACAACAACGACCGCAAGCCGTGGCTATGCGCGGCCGCCTCCCTACAATCACCAGTTTTATGCTACCCCCAGGAGCCCCTTCTCCCAAGCGCCCACAACGCCCGATTCAGTCTCCCAGCTGGCCATCAGTGAGGCACTGAAGCTCATGCTGCGCCCCTACTTCAATCACAGCGGCAATGCCCAGGACAGGCAGGCCAAGCAGGCGGAATTGGCAATTGTCTCTGTGATTAGCCAGCCACCAACCAGTACTAGCACCACGACGACAACCACAACAACAACTCCAATCCCTGTTAGAATATCAACGACAACACCCAATCCAGACGATGACGCCGAACTGATTAGGGCCGGGGAACAGGAGAGCTTGGACCTAACTGACGACGACTCTGACTCTGACCCTGACTCTGTTTTTCCAGATGCTGGGGAAACGGCCCGTACCGAGCAGACAGTAGATCCCATCACATACCAGTCCCCGACCGACTACCATCGGAGCACCCGCACAGCGGATATCGAAACCACAACGAAAGCAATCAATTGGCACGCGTCCGGTCACAGTCGTGACTTCCACAGACGCCATCCAAATCTCCTCGATCCGCACTCGCTGCGCCCCCTGCAAAGACACAATCACCTTCCCCCCCATCACCACAATCCGCACAGACACCACCACGAGCACAGTCACAGTCCCGACTTCCATCGTCGCCATCCAGAGATGCCCAATCCCTTCAGCAAAAAAAAAACTCCAGCCGAATGGCAGCAGCCAGAGGAGGAGCAGGAGACGGAGAAGGAGACGGAGAAGGAGGAGAACGACTGGGAGCTGATGGCCAATCCGAATGCCGAGTCTGTCACACCCCGAATCGGTGTGCGAAGCTCCTTCAATGATAGCTGCGAATTCGATTGCCAGAACGGAAAGTGCGTGCCGCAGGCCTCTGTCTGTGATGGCGTCAATCACTGTGGCAATCGTCGGGACGAGAGCAACTGCCACCACTTGGGCTACGAGGTGCGTCTGACCGGCGGCGAGCAGCCGCACATGGGTCGGATATCGGTCAAGAGTGAGTACCATTAACCAGCCATTAGAAATCCTGCGTTAATCGATTGCACTCTGCAGTCAATGGCCAGTGGGGCTATGTGTGCGATGACAAGTTTGGGCTGCGGGACGCCGATGTGGTGTGCCGCGAGCTGGGCTACAAATTGGGCGCCCAAGAGGTACGCGGCAGCTCCTTTTATGCACCTGGCGATCAGAACTTCAACTACGCCATGGACGAGGTCGAGTGCCAGGGCAACGAAACGATGCTCAAGGATTGCGACTTCAAGGGCTGGGGCGTCCACAATTGCGGCGTCGATGAGGTGGCCGGCGTGGCGTGCAAGGTGCCCGTGATGAAGTGCCCGGACAACTACTGGCTCTGTCAGACCTCCAAGGAGTGCATTCCGCCCGCCTTCGTCTGCGACCACACGGCCGACTGTGCGGATAAGTCGGACGAAAGCCCGACCGTCTGTCAGGTGGGTCGACTGTAGTATAGAAACTCCATCCCACATGGATACTAATGATGAGTGCTTTCCCTTACAGGCACCTGTTGAGTTCCGTTTGGAGGGAGGACGCAGCTCCAATGAGGGGCGACTGGAGGTCAAGTACCATGGCGTGTGGGGTAGCGTGTGCGACGATGACTTCAACTTGAAGTCCGCGCAGGTGGCATGCAACTCCCTGGGCTACTATGGGCCAGCGGTAAGGCAGATGGGCAGAATGAATCCAGCTACTGCCAGATCTAATGCTCTGCAATCCCCTAGAAACTGGAGAATAACATCTTTGGGCATGCGAACGGACCCATTTGGCTGGATCAGGTGATGTGCTTTGGCAATGAGAGCAGCATCGACAAGTGCAGCCACTGGAACTGGGGCGATCACAACTGCAATCACACCGAGGATGTGGCCCTGCATTGCGCGGCAGGACCTCCGCCTCGAGCAGCCAGCCGCCTCAAGGCGTTGAAGCAGGCTGGCGCAGGGAAGAGCGCAGCTCTGACCTACTCCGACATTGGACTGTGGGAGCGGTCCAGCCGAGCCATGCGCTCGCCTCGGCGCTGCGGCATCTTCAAGGACGACCTGTCGGATGAGTATGCCGCCCATGGCGGGGAGCGTGTGATCAAGGGCAACACGGCGCGTCGGGGCCGTCATCCTTGGCAGGCCACCATTCGAACACGAGGACGTGGCGGCATCTCCAGCCACTGGTGCGGCGCCGTGGTGATCTCCAAGCGTCACCTGCTCACAGCCGCCCACTGTCTGTATGGCAACGCGAAGGATGCGTACTTTGTGCGCGTGGGCGATCACTATGCCAACATAGCCGAGTCCTCCGAGGTGGACACCTTCATTGAGAAGTGGTACACGCACGAGAAGTTCCGCGACGGCACCCACATGAACAACGACATCGCTGTGGTGGTGCTGAAGCGGCCCCTCAAGTTCAGCGACTATGTCCAGCCCATCTGTCTGCCGGACAAGAACGCGGTGCTCCGAGCCAATCGAAACTGCACAATCTCCGGCTGGGGCTCCATCAAATCGGGTGTGTCCAGTAAGTCGGCCCATAAATCGCAGTAATCTCCTGCATCCACTCCATTTGTTTCGCCTTTTTCCCAGCTCCTGCCCAGGTGCTGAGATCTGCGGAGCTGCCCATTCTGCCGGATGCCACCTGCAAGCAATCGAAAGTCTATGGCTCAGCCATGTCCGAGGGTAGGTCTGACCACAGTAGCCGCTGACTGGAACTCATTACAATCTCTTGCTAAATTCCAGGCATGTTCTGTGCTGGTTCCATGGACGAGAGTGTAGATGCCTGCGAGGGCGACTCTGGCGGTCCGCTCGTCTGCTCTGATGACGGTAAACCCTTCTGCTCTGTGCGCGAAGTTCCCTCTGACAATTTCTTCTTCTATGTATATGCAGATGGCGAAACCTTGTATGGCCTCATATCGTGGGGCCAGCACTGCGGCTACATGAACAGGCCAGGTGTCTATGTGCGTGTGAACCATTATATCGATTGGATCTACGAGAAGATCAACGAGAGCTTGTTGCGCTTTTAGAGGGACCTTCCTTTTCGCTCACACGACTACTGTACCAATATAAATACGAATTTTGTAATTTAACTTGTAATAAATAAATATTGTTTTTAATTTTGAATATTTCTGTTATGCAATTTAATCTCACATCTCTCGTTCGCGTAGTAGCCGCACATTAATGGCATAATCAATGCTAATAAACGGAACCACAACAACATCAGAGGCAGCTTTCTCGAACAACATCATTCAGCGGCGACGGCAATGATTTAATTCACAAGTCCCTCGATGTTCTCTTGACTCATCCCATTCTCTCCGGATTCACTCAAGCTCCAGATCTGCTTGGCTATTACAGTAGAAACTCAGAAATTATAAACTTTAAATTACACATGCATATGACCGACTGGTAGACACCACAAATAACTCGGGGACTCCCATTTTTCCATAAATTGGCCGTTGCCAATTCTAGTTTCTGGCCAATTCTAATCTGTGAGATTTTACTGTATTATATTTTTGCTACGTTTGCCTCTTGGCTGGCTTTTTGGGGGCAGCACAGCCACAGGCACTCGACTCGTTTAATTGACGGTCAACTCGGAGCGGACACACACTCAATTGACACCAAGACTCGTGGGTCAAAAGGGGGTAGGGGGTAGGCGGAAGGTGGCAGGGGCGAGGGATGGGAAAGAGTGCGAGCTCCGCTTACGCGCCTCGTTTTGAGTCGCATTGTGCGGGCGGGCGGGCGTTGCACGCGCGATTGGATGATCTGGCCTGAAAAGCGCTACAATTAACTTAATTAATATAACAATTTGCCGTGACTGGGGTACGGTACGGAGAGCATGCGCAGACATGTTCAGACATGTATTCTCTCTCCCTCTCTTTACGCGCTATACTTCTCTCTGCTCAACTGAAAGAATGCACTCACTTTAAGCGGGCGGTTCTACGCTCGCGAGAGACTCTCTCTCTCTCTCTCTCGCTCTCTGTGTCTGTCTGTCTGTCTGTGGCGATCTGAGCTCTCGGTTAAGCTCAGTTCCGTTGGGTTAGTCGAGAGTGAGACTTCAGTAAGTGCAGATCAGCAATCTAGTGGGGTTATCATCATCATTGCAGCCCGAGAATCCCTCCACCAGAATGTGCACCAAATCCCTGGCCTACTGGCTCATCTTCGGCATCTGCTGGTGTCACATAGCCGGCAATGCCCTGGACCAATATGGCATAACCTTGTCCGGTGGATCCAGCACAACGGAGAGAATCAATTCGGCCATGCGTTGCATGAACATCAATCCCCAGAACTCGGTGGATCTGGAGCAGGTGAGTGGGGGGCGCACGCCCAAGATTGGGGGTAAAAGATCACTAATGGACTACTGTAAGGAGTGCCTGGCTGGCTAATGAAATTATGGCTCATTTGTTCTAATTAACCCTTTGCGCCGAATGTGGACGCAATGTCAATTTGGGACCAGCAGGCAGGGCGCATCGTTTGTCCCATTGTGGTGGCATTTAATTGAACGCACAGCAAGTCGCATGCAAATCGCACAAATGACCCCCAGCAGCATTACATTGCTCTCTGTCTCTCTCTCTCTCTCTCTATCTCACTCTGTGTGTATGTGTGTGTGTGTGCACTCGTAAAATAATGACCAGAATCTGCCTTTCTATATACGTAGATAATGGGACTCTGGTACGGCAGCGAGATCATCGTCCACAGCCAAGACTTTCCCGGCGTCTATGAGTACGATTCGTGCGTGATCATACACCTGGCTGACGTGACCGATCAGGTAAGTGTGTGTGTGTGTGTGTGTGCCCCCAGAGATGCCCACTCCAAATCTCTCTCTCTGACAGATGGTCAACAGCCTCAACAATCGTGGCTACGGCGGCGGAAATGGCGGTGGCGGTGGCTATGGATTGCCGGATTACAACCGCAACCAGAACAACTACGGACGTGCCCCGACCACGCCTTCGTATATGGGCGAGGACGATTACCCGAATCATCAGGGTCGGGTGAAGCAGAATTATCTGCGTTTGGTGTGGAGTGAACGCGACAATAATCTGGAGTATACGTTCAACTACACGACCCGAACACCCGGCCAGTGGTCCAACATTGGGGATCAGCGCGGCAGTCTGGTGACCCTCAACTCCTACACGCAATTCACGGGCACCGTGCAGGTGGTCAAGGCGGTCAACGATCACCTGGTGCTGACCTTCTGTGGCAACGATGTGAAGAGCTCCATCTACACGGTGGTGTTGTCACGCAATCGCCTGGGACTCAGTGCAGATGTAAGTTGAAGGGGATTGATTGCCACCCATAGAAAGATTTAACTACAGTCGAATACCCTTGCAGGAGCTGCGCAGCATTCGTAATCTACTCTCACGGCGTGGCCTCTACACGGAAACCATTCGAAAGGTCTGCAATGGCTGTGGGCAACTGGGCGGCAGCATCATCTCGGTGCTCCTGCTGCTTCTGCTCGTCTGGGGTCGCGGCCAGTGAGGTCAATCGCCGGAGCCGAAGCCGAAGCCGGAGCAGCTATCGTATTTAATGAGTCCAGCCATACTATGTTAATTTATGTGTAATCTACTTAAGCAATACAGAGACGAGAGATCGCCGCGTGCACTCCCCCAAAAAAACTAACCCAATCGAGCTGTTCACATCGTTTGCTTCCGCTTTAATTGCTTGTCTTGTCCCAATTAAAGCCAATTACCGCAGGCCGCAGGCCACAGGCAGAACCGATGACTTAAGTGGGAATTAGTTAGCTATATGGTTAGTTGTAGGCGTTAAGTGTATGTACTCTTAATTCAATTAGCAATCTAGCAGGGAATTCCGCCAGATACAATAATATTTCGGTACTGCCCTACCCCATCTATTCCCTCGGTAGAGTCCCAAAAGTAGGCAATGGAAATTGCTTGCCAAAATTCATACCAATTGTTGCTGATTGTTCGTTATATTGAGTTAACACCGTGCCACACGTCTGTGTCAATGCCAATGCCAATCTGGATGCCGATTATGGGTTATAGCATTGGTACTTTACATTATCAGCACAAGCCGAAAAAAACTAAAGAAACCTTATCAGTCCCCGGCAACTGGAAACTGGCAAGTGGCAACTGGAATCTCACCTGCTGCTGATTCTCTTTTGTTAGCTTTATGTACAATCTACTTTATTGTTAGGGTAAGGCCCCCCGCAATCAATGTCATAAAATCCAACAAGACGATAGGCCTCAATTTCTTCACAGGCAAATTCACGCGATTTGCCTCAGACATGGACAGCGACATCGCCTGCTAAGAAGCCAAAGTCTGGCGAGTGCTTTATTTATATTTTTTTTCCGTCGCTCTCCTCTTTGTTTTTTTTTTGTTGATTTTCTGATAAGTGATTTTGGCACAGAAAGTGCTAAAAGCTAAATGGGAACAAACTCGCCGCGTTATCAGCGCACAAGAGCCCAAACAGCAATAAGTGGAATAAAAAAAAAGTCTACCGTCTGGTGGTCAAAAGAAGAAAACAATTGTAAACAAGCTATAGAAAACATTCTACGAAAGCGTGGAAAAGTTTTGCCGACAAAATATTCCGAAAGAATATTTGATTTCACGATTCCCCCCGCCCAGCTACTCGTATTGGGGGCATGACGAAGAAATTGCACTATGGCACAACGTGTGTAGAGGTTGTTGATAAGTGTTCCCTGGGACCGCTGGGAGGTCTGTTGGCTGTAATGAACTTGAACTTGCAATGCAATGCGATCATCATAATATCGTCTGTTATTGTCGTTAAACGAATTTCGAGCGCACGCTTTTTGCCCGATTTTACAACGCATTCGACTGATTGCAGCCATAGACTCCCTCGACTCGTAATCGACTCATAGAGGGGGAGCCGCCTGAAGTTTTGTTTTGAAAGGCAGACTGATAAGAGGACCGACCGTGCACACGTCGAGAGCTCATGCTAGTAAGCACACATTACAGAGACACCAGAGCCCACAGCGCCTATACTAGGCATAGAAATAGATGGCATATATCTTCGAGTGCATAATCTAATAGGCAGGATGTGTTTGAGTATGCATATACATATATGTATACACGACCTCTGTTAGTGCCATGAGAGCTATGCAAAAATGTGCCAATTCTGCGAGTACAATATATATACAGATGTACATATACTGAATATTTAACGATTTACGTCATTAGGGTATATGATTGTGCATTATTCAGAGAGTTGTGCTCTTTGGACTTTGAGCTGCATGTGGGTAGTACTCTTACGAGATCGACTCTTTAGTTTTAACCAGAACAAAGCTGAAACACTTCACCTATACTTGGGTTGCCATTGTCGCCAGGTAAACAAGGAACTTGTGGGAAAATGCGTCGCAGTTGCAGTTTACTACGGCCCGTGTGCGCGTGTGTCCGGTAGGGTGGCTCTGGGTGACTCTGGGCCATAAGCTAATCAATTAACAACCCTTTTAACAGCAGTATCATCATCTGTACGAAAGGCACAGCTGATAAGCTGAGCCCCAACTACTCGTACTTAGAAGCAAATGCCCAAACACACAAATGGCAGATAAGAGAAGTCTCCTATAAATACTGGACCCAGACCCGACTAGAGCCACAGAAACGAATCGTGCGCGCCAATGAATTGAACAAAGAGGAGAGACAGTACACCCCCGTCAAACCCAACCAAAATCCTATATAGAGTGAAACTCTATATACAAACTGTGATAGCTGCTCAAAGGAACAACGCCAATACCGTCAATCGCCAGAATGTCTGCTGCCAATAAATTGCCCCATCTGGTTGCCTCATCATCCCGCTACATTGCCGGACGGAATGCTGTGCAAACGGTCTACTGGAGGGCCTCTGCGGGACCCAATCCCCGGATGGTGAAGACCAACAAGACCTGCGAATTCGACCGCTCCCAGCTGGCGCCGAAGAGCGTGAGGATGCAGAACCACAATCACAGCTTCATCAACAAGTAGAGGGAGGACTATGACCAGGACTCCATCCACATCCACATCCACAACCAAATCCACGTAGCTCTTAGTTCCGGCCTTGACATGTTCCTAATGTGTGGACAGACGACACGACACACACGTTAAATAATTCATAATTTTTTTTTCATGGTGCACTCTATGTATTTATTGTGTGTAGTATTGTAGAGCGATAAACGTAATCGTGAGTGTAGTAATTGTAAACGAAACCGGCACGTAGCGTCACTGGAACTAGAGCAAAACCCAGAATCCCAGTGCGATGTCTCCGTCTTGCCCCAGAGGCAAGCCGTGGCTACGGCTATTCATGTACCTTGGCATTACAAAAACAACAAAGATTAAATAAAATGCATTCTAGCTTGTAGATAATAGAACCCCATACGATGTTTTTTCATGCTTAAAGCTTTAAAGCTTGGGAGGGTGGGGGGGTCACTCTGTCTTTCAGGTGCGGTGCGTCACCGCGTGACATCAATACATGGCCTGATCGGACGTCTTCTGTTCTGTTGAATCACAGTAAAAAAACGTTCATGTTCCGGTTTATTCCATTTTTTAAATATTTTATTTATTTAGTTTTATATTTATTACATACATTGAGTTCTCGTATATGTATATATAATTTTTTTTTTTTTTTGCTTTTACGTTTATGCTTTATTTCTTTTTTTTGTTTTGTGTTTTGTTTTGTATGTAATTATTTTATATACTTTTTCATTTAGGTTTATAATTTCGTTTTAGATATCGTTCGTACTTAAGTTTTATAGTATTTCTCTCGTCTTTCCATTCAGATTTAGTTAATATAATTTGCATTGTGGGTGAAATATGTTTACGTTAAATTTTGTTTCTCTTTTCGTTTGGTTTCTTTCCCCTTTTCATTATCGTGTTATATTTATCGGGTTGTTCTTTACTTAAAATTACAGCCTTTATAAATAATTATTTTTTTTATGCTATTCTTCATTTATTTTTTTTTGCATTTTCGATTTTTTCTTCGTCCATTTTTTCCGAATTTTTTGTGTTCGTGTTTTTGTTTCGTTCTCTTATATGTTTTTGCTTTATACTTTTTATTTCGCTTGCCGTTGTACTACGTATTCATTTTTTTTCTTTCTTTCGTTATAATTTACTAAATATATAGAGACTTTGCTTCCTTTTCTGCATCGTATTTTGATGGATCTGAATAAGTTGCACACATGTACATATGTATATAATATATATGTATATATATATATTGTTATCTAAATATATATTCCATATAGACTTTATATACTTTATTCATATTTGACAATTTCAGTTGGGCTTAGTGTCTGGCTTTGCTTTTGTAGTGTAGTGTAGTTTTTGGTTTGGTTTTTCTGTTTCTATTTTGGTTTTGGTTTTTTTTTGGTTTTATTTTTTTTTTTTGTTCACACGGAAGTTTTACACACATGAATAAAACCGAAAAAAATACACACAAAACTTTGTGCATTTCCTTAGCTATAGCTTTGGTTTCGTTTTTTTTTTTTGATACTTTTCGGAATATGTTTTACTGTTTAATGATCTCTTTTTTTAAATTTGTTTTACCTAACTCAATTCACATCAAAAACAGTTTTCGTTTTTCGTTTATCTCAAAAGAGAAAAATATATATTAATTATTATCATTATATTTATTTTACTTTCATTAAACCTTCTCTTCTTTTTTGATTAAAAAATATTGCAGCTCAAAATTGTAATACTTTTGTGTTTTTTGCTTGCATCTCCATCTCTGCCTATCTGCCTCTTCATCTCTCTAAAGCATAGAACACACATTAGAGATCAGTAGTTCGATTCTGCCCCTATACTCGACTCTTTGTTCTAGCTCTATCTGTCTCCTTCTTCTACTTATAGCCTTTTCTTTCTATGCCCGCGCCACTCTCTGTTCTGCTTCTGGCTGATATCATTTGTCGTTTGCTTGATCTGTAATTCCTTTGTGTGGTTTGGTTTTGGGTTTGGGGGTGTTCTCGTGTTTTAGTGTCTCATATGTTTTACGTATTTCCTTGACTTTGACTTTGACTCTACTATTATGCTGCTCAATATAGTATACTTTATATGTATATATAGACTCTTATGTATGGTAAATTGTTTTGCTAGAAATGTTTTTTCATTTACGGAAGAATTTGGATACATTTTTTGTAAGTTTTCCATTTGAGTTTAGCTAAAAGTATAATTTCTCTAGTATTCTCGAGTATTTTGCGTTACTCTTCAGCTAATCTTTGCTATTTTTGTTTTGTTTTGTTTTATATTTTTTATTTTTGTAATTCTTATCCCTCGTTCACGTGGGCGCTTTAATTGGCTTAAAATATGTAGGTGTATCGGTATCTATATATCGCTGTCTATATCGGTATCGGTTTTGGTATCTCTACAGATGTGTATCTTGTGGCAAGCACACAATGACTCCTATCTCATATCTCCTGTCTCCTGTTTCATCTTCAGCTTCAGCACAGATTCTCACAATGTGCATCACTTGAAATGCACTTGGATTCAATTTAGATAATTTTACACACATTCAGACATACGAGTAATGTATATGTATTTTGCAACAGAATTTCGGCATTTATTTCGTTTTCTTTGTATCTTAGAGAGGATTTTTTGTTGGGGATAATGGCCAAATTAAATCAATGGAACGGGGACTTAATGGACACAGGTTTGTCAGCAGAAGGCAATCAACGAAATTCTGCGCAAAAGTTTGTAAATTTGAAGACAAAAAAAAAGTGTAACCAAAAAGAATGTACGAAAGATTTCCAAGAGAATTCCATAAAATATCTTACAATTGTTGTAAATTCTTCAGTTGTGTGTTTTTTGTGTCTGTGTTTTTTTTATGTGGTTTACATCGATTCTCTCTCGTGACTAAAAATACTCAACAATTTCGTTTACATGAAACCATTTTAGCTACAATACAATACAATACAATATATATGTTGTATATATATATATATGGTTAAATATTTCCTAAACACTCGCTGTCATTTCAACATTGATAGAAAAACCCTTTTGTTTGTTCTTGCTTTTCACCATTTGCCATGTTTTGCCTCTCTACGGATCGAAATCTCGCTCTAGAAATTGCTTATGCTTTTGCATTGTAAAAAGTATGTTCGAAAAACTCTTTTGCTGACAACAATGATCCAAAACAGATTTGGTGGTGATGGTTGTGGTGGTGACTCGGGATAATGGTAACCTCAACCGTACTAACGAATAAATCCCATACATATATCGGTTATATATCGGTTGGAGTGGAGTACAGCTCTGGCTATGTAATGCACCTATGTGTGTGGGTTAAGGTTAATCCTCGTTTAATCTAAAAGATTTCGTTGCACGTTTATTGTATCTTAGGCTCTTCCTCTCCGCAGAGACTTTTTCCTACCATTTCTATTATTTTCTGAAACTAATTTTTTAATGATCTTCCATGCTGCCTGAATCCCAAAATCATATCTATAACACTCTTCTTTATCATCTTGTTTTTGGGATTATAATGGGACACTTTCATTCATTTTCATGATTTTGTGTATGTGCTTTATACAGTTTTCATCAATCATCATACATCACATATCGTGTGGATAGTTTTCTGTTTTCTAATTAATTTTGTTCTTATTATTGCTGCGCCATTAATTTTATTCTAATGTAAGTACAATATCATAAAAATAAAAATAACACTGTATATTTTGTTATTTACCATTAATTTAGCTTTTTAAGTTATTTTTTTATATATATATATATATTTTTTTTTTTGTATTTTTCATAATTTATTTTATGGTTTTGTGTTTTACGATTTGTTTTTTTTTATTGTAAATATAAATATATATAATATATATCTCAGGTTTTCCATTTATTAAGTACAATATAATATAACCATATACAAATCGGCGCTCCACCCCCCCCCCTGCTGACTGCTACACAATCCACCCGCGCGGTCTTCGATGTCCAATGGCCCTCCGCCCCACCCGCAGTACTCCGTGTGCCGCATTTGAAAAATTCGTAAACGGTTAGTACACTTTTAATATTCTTAGTTATATTTTTAGCGTCAGTCTTGTGTAAATTAAATTTTACTTCAAAAACGTTTTAACGCACGCACACGCTGTACAGAAGGGGGCAAAGGGCAAAGCATATGCACATGCAGGCGCTTTTTCCAAGGACACACTTGAGGCAGGGTTGCTCTATTTCCGCTTCCGTCTCATTCCCATTGCCGTGAACGTTGCCGTTGCTGCAGGGCCGCTTCTTGTTATAAAAAATTGCTGCTCGACGTTACATATACATATATATATATATATTTAATAAAATGTATATATATAATATATATATATGCGTGTATACACATATAATATAAGGTTTTATTCAATTCACACGTAGACGTTTGTTAAAAAATGCATTTTTCTTATGTAAAAATGTTCTTTTTTTTTTTGCGTGACCATTTCGGTTTTGATCTCCATATTAATTCTCCACCGCTCGTAAATATTCTTGTATGTAATTTGGTTTCGGTTTTGTGTTGAGACGCCATTGAGATATTGTTCTTGTACATTTAATTATATGTATATGTGTATATATATATATATATATATTTATTGTTGTATATACGAATCATCATCTAGGTGTATGTACTTGTATGCGTTTTCCTTTATAGATTATAATTAGTTTAAGTTTTTACCATTTCCTCGATCGCACACGGGAAGATTAAAGATACACACACGGTAGTGAGAGATAGGAGTTAGCAAACCAATTATAATTGAACTACATTTAGAGATTTTAGACATGTCTAATTCTAGATAAGTTGCCACCGTCCGATCATCTGATCCTCTGACATCGAGATTAATTAGAGCTAATTTGACACAACCGTTTAATTCAACTATTTCATATCATCATATTGAAGCATCTTTAAGCGTTTGCTGTGTGCTCCCGTCTATCGCCTGGGTCGACTGTGTCATGCTACTGAAAGATTCGTTGCTTTTTGCATTTTCTGGTTTGCAGGTATTCTGAAGCATCTGTAAAGTATGCTACACGTCTTGCTCGAGAGATAAATAACGAAATAAATAAACGATACAATAAGTAAGAAAATCATAGATGGGTTTTTGTTTTGGGCTCCTTTTTATTAACTCTCAGGATAAGAGAGGCAGACACATTGATAACGTTAAGCATTATGAATTTGGAACAAATTGAACACAAATTTAGTCAAGATTATAACCAAAATGTAAATAAGAAAATTAATTGATTCAAGGAAAATTGCAAATTTGGCAAGGATAACTGAGAGAACCATAAGATAACCCGCATAACGATTAATTAATCGAAAATATTATAAATCGGAACACACGCTGAGAAAGCTGGTAGCCCAAAACATTTTTGGAATGCTAATGTAAATTGTGATTGAGATTTGGATGCTGTGCAGCTGAGAGGGTTGCGAGAGCGGAGATCATCGGGTGGTTAGGAAGTCTGCGTCTGCATATGTGCTACATGCTCACATAGAAATTTTGAAGGAAGTAATGGATATGCTTCGGTTATTCAGTTGGGTTCGAAAGATTGCTCTGTGTGTGTGGCGTTGGGGAAACGACGTTGTTATTGGATTCACTTGTTACCGTTCCCTCTCCGGATCTTTCATTCGCTCTCTGCCCAATCGCTGCAGACCATATTTAAAATTGTGATAAAAAACAAAACAAAACAAAAAACAATTGAACAATTTGAAACACAGAAACAAAAAACAAAATAACTAAAAACTTGGTTGTGGGATTGGTGGCTGGGTGGGTCGGATGGGTGGTCAAGGTGGAAAATTATAGAGCAATAACATTTTTTTTTTTAGTTTATGCATCGGCTCGATCGTTTTGAAGAGATCCTCCTCTGTTCTGTGCTCCGTGCTGGAGCCCGATTTCGGATATTTCTCTGGCAATTCTTTTTCTTCAACGACAAGGCAGAGCTTTGCTCGAGGTGTCCATTTTTTTTCTTTGAGTTTTTACTTTAGAATTTTTTTTTAGTGTTTTGATTTAGATAATTTTTCTGTTGGTTTTTTTCTGTTTCATCCGATCACCCGCACAAATGTTTACCCTAAAGCCTGGGCCCGCAGTTGTTCAGATTGATATTGAGATCATCAAAATCCATCCAGTTGGAGTTCGATTGCTGCTGTGGGTGCAGCACTTGCTGCTGGTGCTGGTTCTGGTGCGGCGGCTGCTGCGATGTCATAATTGGTGGAGGATGGTTCTCTATGGGGTATATTTGAATATATGTATGGGGGATGCGTTGCATATCTCAAAGGGGCGAGGAGAGCAGGGAGGACACACGAAAGATCACTGGATTCAACAAACTGAAAAATAAGCATAAGTACCAACCAAAAAGCGAATAAAAGCAAACCAAAGTGTTTTTTTTTTGCAATTTTAGTATTTTCTTCTCATATTTTTTTTTTTTTTTTTGTGTTTTGCATTTTGCTAAAATTATTAAGTAGCTGTTGCTTTATTGTTATTGCTATTTATGCGTTCTCTTTTCTTCCTTCTCATCTATATATATGTATATATATAGGTAGTATGTGTGTATGTGTGTGTGTGTGGAGGGGTGTGAGTGTGTGTGTGGTTAAATATGTTTCCTCTTTTTATTACTCTTCTGTGATGATCATGGGATAGTATCGTTATATCTATCGTAAGTGGTACAAACTCATTTCCGACGTTTTCCCTATCCTATCGCCTCATGATGATCTCTCATACATATTACGATATACATATGTATGTATGTATAATTGTTGAATTCATTTAGGTAGGTAGGTACTTAGTCTAAAAACATGTGTGGTGTGGTGTGTTGTGTTGTGTTGTGTGTGGTGCTCTTTAGTTGAGCTGCACTTAATCAGTTGATCTTTCATTTCATTTCATTCTTTAAAATCTATATATATATGTGTATATATATATATTATTCTTTGCGCTATGATATATATGTATTGTATATATATATAATTCTTCTTTCTGTCACGTTTCCCTTTACGTTTTTCTAATTGCTATTTTTGTTTGCCATTTGTTCATTTCAATATATATATATGTATATATAATATAAATATTCACTATATATAAACTAAATAGATTTTTACGATGGGACAATCTGCTCTCTGCTGCTCTCTTTTCTGCTCAGTAAAAACTTAAGAACTGCCTTCCTTTCCTTCCTTCCTTCCTTCCTTCCTGTCTTCCGTGTTCTCTCATTCAAGTCGTACAATAAATTGAGTTTACAAACATTTCATCTCTTCTGTTTTGGTTTTTCTTTCTTTTGTTGTATGTTTGTTTGTTTTGTTTTGTCAGCAAAAATGTTCATTCATTCATTTGTTTAATTAATTTAATCTTTATGGTTTTATATATATATGTATATATCTGTATATATAATATATTTTAATATTGTTTTAAACCTAAACAATTTATGAATTTTCGCTTTTTCAAAATATCACGTATATACTTAAGTTATGCCTTGGATTTACTTTAGTTATGATCTGATTCTTGAACGATTAGTCTGCGGAAGATAAGATATTGCTGGGATGGTCAACGAAAACATTTGAACGCTAATAAGGTATGAAATATTATATTTCTTCTTCCAGTTCATCAGTTCAATCGTTCTGCCCATGCCCCAGCAATGGGGAATCTCTCCATCGAGGATCCCCAACTCTAAGAACCTATGTATTCTCATATTCGACTTGAGTATCGCATCGTATTGTATCGTTTCATTTGTTGTGCGGGCGAACCGAACGCTCTATTCCAACTAAATAAAATCCATATTGACTGACATATATGTAAGTACTCCTCGCTCTCTTGCTTGGTGGTTTCTATGTTGCTTCTTCGACTTGTTTTTCAGTAGTTTACGAGTAGTTTTTAACTAGAGCCTGTCTTCTGAATTATTGCTTTCCATTTCGTTTCATTTTGTTTGGGGTTGCTTTCGCTTTCGCTTTTTCTATCGCCTTTGCCTCGACAAAGTGTGATTCCTAATTATTGTTACGATTCGATTTAAAAATGTTTCGTTTTGTATTTAACTATTTAACAATTTAGTAAAAATTTCTCAACAATTTATTGAATCCAAAGTTCAGTTGCATTTGCGGTGGCAGTGTGTGTGCGTCGTGTGGACTCTGTGAGGATTTTCTATGGTATTTTCTGGCGGTTTCTGTGGCGACTCCCCCGGCGACCTCTGTTGTTGTTGTTGTTTAGCAGGTATTTTTGAAACCTCTGGGTTCTCGTTTATTATTTTCTTTACAATGGGGCAAATAATATCTTTTTTTTTCGATTCAATAAGGCATACACGTACGAGTATATATAATATATGAATATTTTTTTTCGAATTTCAGCCAAATTATGCACCAATTTTGAATGGAATTCTCGCTCGCCAGTCGCCCCGCTTCAGCTCCACCAGCCCTACAGCCCTACATTCTGCCCCCGCAAATGTTGCCTACTCAGATTCGTATTTAAACAATTTTTTGGTTAACAAACATTCAGACGTTCCTGTTTTTGATTCATCATCATCATCATAACAATACAGTATGTAGATACAACAGAATTTTTTACGTTTACTTCGGGGTATGTATTGTATGTACGGTAGAAAAAACAGAGATGATAAAACAACATTTTTGCAGATTTCGCATTTTGCTTGATGTACATTAGTTTTCACTTCCTGTTTATAATTGTTATTATTATAGACTTTAGTTAAATTATTATTTATTCTTCGATTTATATATATATTTAACTATATTCTTGTGTAACACACACCTATGAGTGTCTATGTATTGCTTGAGTTTGTTTTTATTTTTTAACTATTTACTTATCGTTTTTTGTATTTTTTGTTTTTGTTTTTCCATTTTGCTAGAGCTTTGAGTTTAGCTTTTTAATAGTCTCTCTATACGAGTATGTATATGTCTCGCATACATATATGGTTGTATGTGAGCGTTTTGTGTATGTTTTCGCATCATATTTTGAATATCTTTATTGTATAGTGTGTTCTTTTTTGTTTTTGTTTCTTTTGTTTTCCACTCTCTCTTCATCGTTTTTAGTTCACTTTTTGCTTGGCTTACGTAACTAGATTTAACATTTTCATGTCTCTTGCTTTTTAGTAGGTATATATATATGTATGTATGTATAGTATATTTTGTTTTTCGTTTAAACTAAGGTTTGTTTTTCGTTCAGTTTTGATCGCTGAGAGAGTAGGGAGGGCTTGCGTAGCCCCACTCTCTCTCTTCTGTGTGTGAGTGTGTTTGTGTGTTAGTGTGTGCGTAGCTTTTGCTTTGACTTTGTCCGTCGTCTACTTTGCTAATTCATTTCCTCACTCCATTCCTTCTCATTCTTCTTTTTGCTTTGTATCGCTGTATGTGTATGTTTGTATGTCTGTGTATAACAGTATACCAGTTTACAGTTACAGTTACGAGTTACAGTTATTTTCATTATACGTATATATATGTATATATATATATGTACTGTATATTGTATGTATGTATATATTTATATAAATTAATTTATGCATAATTTTATGTCTTTAATCTTCGATCGCTGCCCTGCCATCTTCGCTTCGCTTCTCTTCTCTTCTCTTAGCTACCATATATCGTATATATCCTATATATATATATGTTTATATGTATGTATGCAATTTGTATTCCGTTATTATCTATAGTATATATTCTGTGTCTGCGTGTTTGTTTGTGTTTCGGTGTATCTGTGGTGTGTGTGTGTGTGTGTGTGCGTACTTTTCACATTTGCTGCCTCTGTATAATCCAGTTATGTATATAGTAAGTATCATATCCATATATGTATATATTTATAGTATAGTTTTAAATATTGTTTAAGTGTTCAACTGCCTCCTCTCTCTATCAACATCCATCCCATTCCTTATATACAGTTGAAACTCCCCTTCATAGCCAGACAGACATATTTCATATTTAATTTTTGGGTACTGTCCTGTCCGTTTAGAGGAATTTCACTGTATTTCCCATTACCATTTCCATTCGCTGCAACTGACTCTGGTGGTGCAGTTTTGTCAGTAAGCCCCTCTCTGTTCTACTCCTTCTCTCCATTCTCTTCGCTAATTGCACATCATAAATGTTTGCACCAACAAATTCCATCTTCCACACACACACACCACACACAAAGGCAGATGGACTTTAAATTCACACAGATACAGTAGGTGTACCTTTAATAACATAAGCAGCTTAATTTACACAAAATTTCCCCATCGGTTTTCCCTTCTGCATTTCGGTCTACATCTGTGTGTGTGTGTGTGGGGGTGAAGAGCTTTTCCTTCACTTCCTTCCAATATAATTTTCTTTGACTAAACATTTTGCGAAATTGCAGCTGTTGTGTGTGTTGTATGGTATGGGTGTGTGGTGTGTACTGTACTATTTGATGATTTTGTTGTAGTTTACTTTTGTTGCTGTTGTTGTTCTTGTGGATTTGTTGTAGTTTGTAGTTTGTAGTAGTAGTAGTAGTAGCATCACCTATTGTTGCTTTCTCTCTCACTGGCTGTCTGCATCCTCTCAAAAGTTAACATGGATAAATTCCTACAAAATAATCAAGAAATTGGCTTCAAAAAGTCGTTTCGTTTTCATGGAATACATACACATACGTACGTACATATGTATATGTATGTATGTATTTCCAGTATGGTATATATAGCAGTTGTAAAATATAGTATGTATATTTCTATGAGTGCGCGACTACTACTATTTACAGAGAACATTCTCCGCTCTATATATTGTATATTTTATATACAGCAAGCAAAACCGAAAAAAGATAGATGTAAATTACAAAAATAAAACATAAATGTTTTATAGGAAGTCTGTTCTGGCACACCACTCTGCACTTTTTGCTACTATTTTGTTCATATACATACATACTATGTGATGGTGGACATGGCATTCAACTAATTTACATTAGACAGTACAGTAATAGCTGAATAAACTAAAGAGCCAGGAGCTTAAAACATAACTTTAAATTAACATTAAATCATAAACTAAAATTAGAAACTAGAAGTGCGGCCGCTGCTGCTGCTGCTTGGGCGGCTTCGATCAGAGTGGCAGAGGGGCAGGAGTTCTGTTGTAGAAATTGTTGTTGTTGTTGCTGTTGTTTTTGTTGAATCATCAGATATCAGATTGTTGTTGGTTGTTGTAGTTGCAGTTTCACGTGCATTTGATGTTGTTGTTCATATGGTTTTTTTTTTTTAATTTATATATATATTTTTTTTTTTTTTGCAGGGCAGCTCTCAACGAAAAATTGGCGACTACGAAAATTGCTTTACTTTTATGTTTCTTTTAGGGTTTAACCTATTTTATTTGTATTCATTTTTTTTTTTTGTTTGTGGTAGTTGTTGTAGGAGGTGGTTGGTAGTTTGGTGGTGCAGCCAAGAAATAATGAAAGAAAAGAAAGCATATACCGAGATATTGGTGTAAAAACTACGACAAACGACAGAACAAGGCAAGAGATTTACATATGGCTCTATGTAGATTCAACACTCACCTTGATAGTTCTGAGGCCAAATGGTGGGTACATTCTGCTGTAAAATGTGAATGCATCAAATCAGTATATACCCTGTAGTATTTTATATTATATAAATGACTTACCATTGGCACACTGTAGTACTGATAGAATGGCTGATATTGCATGGCTGAAGGTGGGTAGATGGCTGGCACTCCAGCGGCTGTAAAGTCAGTAACTAAGTTTGGTTAAATTGTTCCCCACACATTGATGATGGTTTTTTTTGTTGGATGTTGTACGAGTAGTAGATTGTTGTTTGTTGATTAAATAGAAAGAGATTTATATGAAATATATAGAAAAAAGAACAAAAACGAAAAGAAAGACACTTTTAATTGAGCAAAGAACTGAAGCTGCAAAATGATGAGTACTCAGAGATCCTTCAAAACAGACAAAAACAGGCGACTATTCCACTAGGAGCACATCCATTCACTTGTGTGAAATATTATACAGCGAATGTGTCTCATAGTGGAACAGAGAGGAGGAGTACGGGGTGGTACGGTAAGCACTCACCTGGCGGATATACAGCGGCTGCAAACTGATCCATCGGTATATTGCTGATCGGTGCCGGCGGCGTGGTTGTGTAGTAAACAGCTCCATTTGTGGCCACAATCGACTGCAGAGGATTGGGCTGTTCGAAGAGGAATACCTTTAATAAGTTTTACAACTGTAAAACTATCTGCAAAAGGGTGCATACACCCCCTCTCTTTCACGGAGAAAGGGGGGGGTGGGAAGACTCACCTGTTTCTTGATGGCCGGCGCAATGTTCAATTTGCGATCACGTAGAACCACGCACTCACCCTGTGATTTCCACAGAGAGATCCAAAGAGAGCGACAGAGATGGGATGTCATGGAGATGTGAAAGAAATAGAGGAAGAGAGCATAAATGGAGGGTGCATTAGAAATCGCATTAGATTTGCATTTATCGAACACACAAGCCGAACGAAGAAATTCAAATTCAAATCGAACGCAGCAGCATTTAAAAAATCTCAACCAAAACAAAAATATAGTTAAAAATTAATGCTCAACGCTTTTTGGTTTTATGGTTTTACTGTTTCAAAAATTCATTTGTTCATTATTTTTTAAAGATATTATCTTTTGCTTGGCCATGGCTATATAGAGACAGAGAGAGAGAGAGCTAGAGAGAGAAACACGTGCCAAGGCAAAAATACCATTACCAAATACATGTGTATTATATAATATATATATAATGTGTATGTGTGTGAGTATATAGTGGTGTGTAAGTAATGTTTTATTACAACAAAATGTCATGTACAGTATATTTGCAGCAATGTTTTTTTTTCTGGCTTAAAAAGCGATAAAATTCATTTGCCAACACTTTTTGCAAACTTTGTAATTTTTATCTTTTGTTTTTCTATATTTTTTTTCCTTGTTTTGCGGCACAACGAAAATCAACAACATGTCTCATTTTAATCAACAAACAAAAAAACCAGTAAAAATTAATTAACCAGAATAATAAACTCATTAAAAAATTGAAAGAGATCAAAAGAAAAAAAAAAGTATTCAAAATATGGCACAAAAGCGTTTAAAGAACAATTAACATATTTCTGTTTTCTCTTTTTTTTGTTTTGAAGCTGTGGCTTTTCTTTTCTCCTTTTTTCGTGTTTGCGAACGGAAAATCAATTGATTCATAAATGGAAAAACTCATTGGAGAAGAGAAGTGTTTGGTTTGTGTAAATATGTAAGGATAGACCGCAAAAAATGTAAAAATTAAATCAAATTAAATTGTTGGCAAAAGTACTTATTGTGGAAAACCGCCCTTTTCTCCCTTAACGAAATCAGATTTTCCTTTTTGAAGGGAGCTTTTCTTGAAATCCTCTTTTAAAATACCCCTTACCGCCCTTTCGTCTTTCAATGGAAAGTATTCTTGGTAATCCTTTTCGGTCGATGATGATCAGCTACCGACCTTGTTTTCGGCCCATTAAAAATGCATTTGGCCCCCGCACTTTGAGCCAATATTTACGAGTATCAGAGCCAACAGCCAATTTACATTTAATGCGAGTATCGTAAGTAAACTAGCACTCAGCGGAAGAGGATGACAGCTTTGAGAGCTGCTCAGGAGCAGAAGTAAGAGCAGGAGCAGGAGCAGCAGCCACAGCAACAGCAGCAGGACCGGGACGACGAGTTCATCTTTAATTGCCAATTAGTCCTGCTTCTGATACCCTTGTGATTTGCGCTTGAAAAGGACATGGCTCCACCACTGTTACTGCTGCTCAAAGAGAGAGATAAGCACAGAGCCGACTCCTTGAGGACGAAGGGAGCGAGCGAGTGACCTGTCCTGGCATCAGCGGTAATAACCATTAACCTAAGCAAATGTTTGCAGGCCGACGAAGATGCTGTTCCTGCTGCTGCTGTTGTCGTTAAAAAAAAAACAACAACAAGGTGGAAAATGAAAATGAAATATAAGGAAAGGCAGGGCAAGGCAAGGCAAGGCAAGAAAAGTAAAGGCCTCTTCTGCGTATCCTTTCTGACCGCCGACGGGCAAACATTCTTTTCATTTATGTTCGAGTCCTCCAGCCACGAGCCACGAGCCTCGGCATAAGGATAAGGGCCCCAACAAAAGGGCCAGGAGAGCACACAGTCGAGTCGACAGAGTAAACTAAAGATGAAACGTATGCCAGAGAGCAGAGCAGAGCAGAGAGCAGACCAGGACCCACTTCTTTCTTGTCTTGACTGAATTTAATTAAGAATCCTTTTGGCTGGGGCCTGGCTTTTACGGTCGGCCTTTTCCATTTCTTTTGTCTCACGGACACGCACCCTGCAGGACACACACACACACACACACAGACACACAAACAAAAGGACAACAGAAGAGGAGGCTGTTCACTGTTTTAACGGTTGCTTTTTTGGGGTCCACTCTAAAAATAATGTAAAATTGAAGAGCTGCTTCTGGGCAAATCTCATACATTCGAAATGCGTTTTGTGGGGTCCGCAGTCCATTCTCTGCCACACACAAATTTGTGCTAATCTATAGCTGTTTATGGGTGTGGGTGTGGGGGTTGGCAGGGCTTTAGGATTAGTTTCCCAACAGAAAATTAGAGTAGAAATTGAGGTAGCAGTGAGGCAGAGACATGGAGAGGTGGAGAGTTGTGTGCGTGTGGTTTTTCCCCGAAACCCTAGTTTTCCTCGTATTTATATCATTGTGTGGCTTTTGATGAGTGTCCTCCCTCCCTCCACTCTCTCTCTTTATGGGTAAAACTGAATGTGAAACTTTTCAAAAATGAAATTTAATTAGTGTGTGTGCATCTCTATACGTGTATGATCCATGACTATCAGTGTGTGTGTGTAATTTTGTGTGTGTGTTTTTGTGTAAATTAAAACTTTGTTAAACGTTGGTAAGCCCATTGTTTGCTGCTGGTAGCCCTAGACCTGTGTCCGTGCCCGTTTTCAGCCTTTTTTTTTTTGTTGTTGCATAGAAGTGTTGTCGTTGTCGTTATCCTGCTGTGTTGTTCCGCCTTGGGGCACATTACTCGAGTACTAGGTACTAGCGTTGCATTGTTGCTCTCTGTTGCTCTGTTTGTTGTTGGTTGGTGGTTCGCTCTTTTAGCTTTTCCCCTTTTGGCTTTTGCCAAGGACACTTGTATGTCCCAGAGAGCGAGTGGAAAAAATTGCAAAGAGGAGCCCAACAATGTGGAGCTAACAACAATGCATATTAATGACGAGGCAGCAAAAGTTTTTCACTTAATATGCCACAGAGCACAGAGCGCACGGCGGAAGCTGCAGATAGATAGAGCGCGGGAGAGGGAGAAACAAAAACCAGAGAAATGTGGGATGAGCATTTTCCCCACCAGAAATGGTTAAAAGTTGCATCAGGGGCAGGGGCATGGGGCAGGACAGGGCAGTCGTTATGCAATAATTATAATCAATTAGTATGCACCTGGAGTGAAGTGGAGGAGGCAGAGGCAGCCAGTCCCCAGATCATGAGTCTATATTAGGGATGCCACAAGTTGTGTCTGTGGCAGATAGAGCGTGGGCTACCCACCCGACTTGGAATCGAACTGGGAACATTTCCCTACAGAGACCAATCTACAGCTCAATGAACTTTTTTTATGGCGCACTTACTTGTGGAATAAATCGTATTATAAGTTCATGAATTGTTGTAGTTTTTGTTGTTGTTTCTTTTTGGTTTTTTTATTTTTTTTATTTCGTAATTCAACAATTGAGAGGCAGAAACGTAAAAGATGTGCAGCAACATTTACACGAAATCAAAATCAATAATCAGAATATGCAACGAACGGAATGCAACGGAACTAACGGCACTAGAAGGTACGCAATATCTGGGCTAATAATTCTATTTAAGTACGGTCTCTAATCTCTTGGCCAAACAAAAACAAAAAAAAAAAGAAACAACAACCAAAGGAGCAAATGGCCAACAAAGGTTTTGCTAATTGAATTTTTGAAGTTTTTGCAATTAAAATATGAGCGGTTAAAAACGGTGCAACGGAACTCAACATTTGATTTTCAAATTTGCATTTGCGCTCAAAAACACGGGCATTATACTTTCGATCTATATAAGGTGGTGTATCATCTATAAGGTGTATCTGTATCTGTGTGTGTGTGTTTATCTATAAGGTGTATCTGTGGGTGTGTGTGTGTGTGTGTGTTTAGGGGGGTTAAAGGTGTGTGTGTTTTGTTGGTGTTTTTTCTGTGGCAATATGAAAACGATATAACGTAAACGCAACGGTAATTGAAATGGTAACGTAACGTAACGTAATATGTTAACGCAACGTATAATGGATAAACGGATAACGTAACGCTTGAAACGTAAAACTCAACGCAAAAAACGCAATAAGAAGGAAAAAAATTTATAAAAAACAGGAACAAAGAGAGTGCCGTCCGTACCTAAAGGCGGTACATCATCATTTTCTTTCGATCCTCAATAAATCATATTATATCATATCATATCATACACGATATATCATATGATATATGTAAGTATGCCCCCCTCCTACTGGAGTGTGGTGGTCGTTCTGGTAGTAGGAAGAAGGCGGCGTCTCATACTAGTAGTAGCAGTAGTAGTAGTACATAGTAGTAGTAGTAGTAGTAGTAGTAGTAGATATAGTAGTATCTTTTGTGTGTTGTGGGGTCAGATAGGTGGTGGTGTCGGTGGCAGTAGGGGCCCTAAAATATCGAAGGGATCATCACAATTTATAAGGTTTTTTTTTATCGGTCGTGTGTGTCTCTTTATACTCGATAATCGCACGACGATTCTAGAGTTTAAATGAGAATTTGTATGATTGTAGGTGTATGGGATGGATGATATCTATACGAGAGTATAGTGTGTTTTTTTTTCTCGGTTCTTTTCTTTCGTTCGGGTGTTGAAATCATAATTGAAAGTTGTTGTTTTGTTTTGCAACAGGCGACGGCATTAGCAGGATAAGAAAGGATTTGTCTCTCAGTGGAGCAATACTCACATCCGATTGCAGTCTTTGCGCCTCCTGCTCTGTCTCGAATGTGACAAAGCCATATCCCTTGCTCACACCAGCACGATCCACAATAATTTTGGTGCTCTTCACTGTACCGTAGGCGCTGAAGACGCGCGTCAAATCAGCTTCGGTGGTATCGCCACTGCAACACGAGAGACAGACAGACATGAGTAAGTGTACCTCATGGATAGTTATGTAACTGGGGTAGAGCATGTCTTACCTTATTCCGCCCACAAAGATACGATTTGGTATCAATGTGCCATATTTGGGCGCCGCCAGTGGCGCATCCAGTCCACCAGCAGGCGCTGAGGATGGCGGCTGTGCCGATATTTTGTGCATCTCACCGGGTGTCGTCTCCAGACGAAAGTTGGCCCCAAATGGCAGAATCTTGAGGCTGTTATTTGTCGTTGGGGGTGCGCGCTGGCCGAATTTAAATCTTCTCTGTGGCAAAGCCTTTTGCTCTGCCTTTTCCTTCTTCGAAAGGATGCGACTGGGGTTACTGGACAGACTACAATTAGGCTGCGGCTATTGGCGCTGCTGGTGCTGATGCTGCTGCTGTTGCTGCTGCTGCTGATAACGTGATAATTGTTGTTGCAAGCATAGGTACAGAGATGGATGGAAATATAATCTGTATCTGCCGATAGCTCTGGCACTGGCTCTGCCTCTGATCCGTTTGTGATATTTATTCTACAGAATATACATATGTATCTGTAGTTCTATTCGGTTTTGACGTATCTCTGGCTTCTCCCACACAGATTCCTTTGTTTTGTTGACTCGCTCTAAATCTAGAAACGATATCGAAATTATATAGAAAAGTGAGAGAAGAGAATTAGTTAGTTGTGTGCTCATTAATAAACCATTAAAATAATCAGCCACATGGCGGGGCACTACAAAAAAAAAAAAAAATAAATAAGGAAAACCCAGAGAGAGAGAGAGAGAGAGAGAGAAAGAGAGACAAAGAATTGCCCCCTACATTTCGAAATGAATCTATTTCTGGCGATAAAGCAGCAGCCACACAGCGACATATGTCACACGAGGGAAAATGCTCAATGCACAGATATACAAAGATACACGGCTACGCAGATACAGGGAGAGACAGAAAGAGAGAGAGAGAGAGAGAGAGAGAGAGAGTGGTAGGTAGACTGCTGCTGCTGATGCTGCCTGGCAGTGCCACACATGTGTGCACCATAAATTCACCTTCAGAGGCAACGAGACGAAAGACAACTAAATAGCACAGAGAGTTTAATTTTAACAGCAGCCGCCGCACACACTTATGTATCTGAAAGATACATGCCTACATGGACACAGCATGCAGCAGGCAGAGTACCGTTTTAAGTTGTATCTATGAGATATCTATGTGAACATTTACATATAGTTAGCCCGAAACCTCCAATCGAATGGATGACAGCCGTCTTTGCTGTGAACAAACATTTGATGTATCAACGAGATGAAGGGATACACGCACATGCCCCAAAATAGGGACATTGCATGCCACCAGATACAGTTACAGTTACAGAACCCCAAACATCACCCCCATTTAACGATATATTTTATTTGTGTGTATACCTCTATGTGTATCGCTTATCATTCCACATTTATCAGAGGGAGAACCCACAAAAAAAAAAACAACTGTCTGTCCGTCCGTCCGTCTGATGTCCGTCCGTCCGTTGTCCGGGGGATTGGCACATAGCAATGAAAACATAATTAAAATTTTCATTAACAATGAAAATGTCAAAACTGTTGGCGTTTGCCCGCTCGCTCGCTTGCTTCGTTCCGTTTCGTTCGGACATTTCAATTGTATTTGATCGATTCATCAGATACACGGAATGTCCCATGCACCCCCCCTACAGATACATATGTATCTGTGTATTTGTGGATTCACGTAGCAGATATCTTTTTAATGAACGGTGTGCTGCGCGCGTGTGTGTGCTATGTGTGTGTGTGGGCCAACAACACGTGATTATAACTCTACTTTCGACCACACGAACGAAAAAAAAATAACACAAAAGTATCTCTATCTCTTCGAAACTAATAAATTTAATGCAAATGTATCTATAAATTATGTTCAACTATAAATATATATGCTTAACAATAGTCAAATGAATATCTTTATATATTTTTTTTTATATAATTTTTTTCTCTCATTAAAAACCGACAAAAATCGTTTCGCTTCTATGGCGGATTATGGCTATATCTGTAGCTTGTATCTATATCTATATATCCTATAAATACTCGTCGCAATCCGTTCATACTCGTATTCTCCTCTAAAAGCTTTTGGCCCCGCATAGATTTTCTGGGCTCTCGAACGGAAGCAACGAAAAGTGGGCGATGTCTAAGTGCCCCTGACATGATTCATGGATGGGATACATGAGTGTCCGGCCCTCATTCACACACAGAAATCTTAATTATTAAAATTGTGTGAAATTATGGCTGATTTTTGAGCAACTTTAAGGCCTAGGTATTAGAAGAATTGAAGAGTGACGTAGCAGCAGGAGCGAAAAACTGTGAGAACAGAGAAAAAATAGAGAGAGAGAGAAAACCAGAGTATAAATAATTAATATATTCATTACGGCGGAAGACCCCAGCAGAGAAGAGACGAGAAGCCCCTGACATCGACATCGGCCATGGAAACACCCACAGCACGGCTACCTAGCGCTGGAGGCCAGAGGTCAGGCCGGAAAAATCACAGAGTCAGCATCGAAGCGTAGAGGTAGAGGCATGACAACGGAAGGTAGCAAGTGCCAGTGGCAGTGGCAGTCGCTCCATCAATGGAATTTAATCAACAGCAGCAGCTTAAAACTCTACCAACCACCCCGCGGCCAAAAAATCGGCCACCTCTCCCCGCTGTCAGTCATTCAATCAGGCAGTCCGCCCATCATTCCCTCAGTCTCTGCCACATGGCGGTGGGTGTGTGCTTGGGTGTTTGGCTGCTGCTGGCTACTCCACAATATTGCAAAATTCCACGTGCGAAAATTGCGCGAGTAATGGCTGACGATGAAGAATTTTATTATCCATGGGGGCTTCACGTATCCCATAGATACAGATACAGATACGGACACGATACGACTACGGCAATTCTCTCTCGTGGGAGTGTATGTGGCAGATACAGATACAGATACATGATCTCATGCTAAAGAATTTAATAATTTCCCTCGATGGAATGCACACTGATTGGATCATTCCTCACTTCTCTCACTCTCTCTCACTCACTCTGTTGAAATGCGGGAAATGCAGTCCGGAAAAACACGTTTACAGTTTGCAGCTCAATATTCGATTGAATTCGCACAACATTTAATACAACACACAAAAACATTCAATGGCAGTGGCAGTGGAGCTTCATTCAGTTTCGGCGTTTCATTTGCTCGTTCCTCAATTTATTTTTTACATTTTTCACATTTTTTTAAACTTTTTTTTTTTGTGGCACATTTCAAGCGTAACTTTTGGGCCAATTAGGGAAATGCAATTAGCCAAAAAGAGAGAAAATGGAGGAGGAGGAGGAGCAACTGTGGGTAGCGAGAAGGTGGGCGGAAGTGGGAGGGGGAGGCTCTCGTTGTGGCTAGCGAGAAAAGTAAAAGGAGTGTGTGCTAGTTCTAGTTCTGGGCAAATATGAAAGAGAGAGGAACGTAGAAGGGCTACGCCAGTAGAAGAGCTACAGCTGTTGGCCATTGGGGGAAGCTACAGTTCTGGCTATGAGGAGGGAGATGAATCTGTGTGTGAGAGAGAGAGAGAGAGAGAGAGAGAGAGTGCAAGGTTGACCTATAAAACTGGCGAACGTGGCAAAGTGTGGCAGAGTGTGGCACAGATACTACGCGGCGTATAGAAAAGGAAATGAAGTAAAAACACACAGCTGTGTGGCCAAGAACAAGGCCAAAAGGGGGCTGCCAGTGCCAGGAGAAAGCATAGGGAGCACTGGAGGGAAAGAAGGCCAACAGAGAGAAGCAGCGAAGTAAGGCCAAGAGGAGAGAAGAGTCAGAGAAGCAGCAGAAACAATCAGGAAGGATGCAAAAGGGAAGGAGCCAATGCAAAGGAAATAGGGAAGCAAAAAGTGTGTGGCAGAAGGAAGGATGGAGAAGTGTTTGGCAGCAGGAAGGAAGGAGGAGTGTTTGGCAGGAGTAGCAGCAGTTCTTTCCCGTAGAAATACAATTTAAAAACTAAACTGCACACAAGAGACAGTCTGTGCAGTCTGTGCCGTCCCCAAGTAGCAGATAACAAAACAGCAAAGCCAGTGTTCACTGTACTCCTGCTACACGTGCACATCCTTTGTCCTCGTATGCAAAAGGTGTATATGTGTGTGTGTGTGTGTGTTCGTCCTTGCCAAAATGTGGCAGACCCAAGGCGAGTCGATAGTCAGGTGCTGATAAAACGCTGACACACAGGGCGAAAGAGAAAGCAAAGGGAAAGGTGAAATTGCTGCGCCTGGCAGTATGCTACACAAAATGTGTGGCACCATCAGATAGGAGCTAGGAGAGTGGAACGGGGTGAGGGAAGAGGGTAGAGGGGAGAGGAAGGAGGCATGTGACAGCAGAAATCCCCCGTGTGTGCACTCATATCCTGTTGGCCATCCCAACCATCTGTCCATCCATCCATGCATCCTTCCATCCATCCCCACAGATAAGTCCGTATCCAAGTCACATAAGGACAATTAGCCAACAGCAAAAGGCTGTGGCTCAAAACAGCTTAAGAGCCCATAACGGCAAACATCACGAGGCAAGCAGCAGCAGCAGGAGGAGGAAACATTTTCGGAGGGGCAGCAGCAGCAGCAGCAGCACTAGGAGTAGAAGCTCATGGCTCTGATGGCTGAATGGCTCTGATGGCTGAATGACTGAGGCATGACGATGACGCTGTGGCATGTACGTGTTGGTGCATAACTTAACTAAAAAAGGAACGCCGCCTACTCACAGCAGCCATGTGGCAGCGAGTGGGTTAAGGATATGAAATCTCAATGGAATGGAAACAGAGTGGCGGAGGCCAAAGGTCAATTGAAGTTCCCCGTAAGAAGCAGAGAGAGAGAGGGAGAAGGGGAATCACGAGAGTAGAGAAGAAAAGAGCAAAAGTCAGTCAGGAGGCCAAGTCAAGTGTAAAGTGAGAAAGCGCACAAAAATGGCACACACACACACAACCACACATATCCATGGGATATGTGGATGCACTGACGGACTGACTGACGGACAGTCCGCCGGAAGTGGAAGTGCCTCGAGCGCCTCGATTCGACTCGACGCTCAACGCTCGACTCTCGGCCCACCTCTGCAATCCGCCCACATGTTATACAATCCTTGAGCGAAGACGAGGACGAGGACATGGACTGTGTGTGTGGACGATGGGTGCATGGGGCTTTTGGGTGTCAGTCAAGTGAAAGGAAATTGTAGCACACAGAAGCAGAACCAGAGCGAACGGCAGCGCCAGACAAACCAACAGACAAACATCATCATCATCATCATCATCCTCGTCCACATCCCCATCCCCGTCCTCGTCGTGTTGTGAATGGTGGGAAGCAAGAAGAAGGAGGAGGAGGAGACGACACGAGACACGAGTCGCAGGGCTTTGGGCTTTGGGCCTCAGCAGCAGCAGCAGCTAAATTGATGGCCTGCCATCAAGGGATGGAGGCACATCCATCCGCTCCCTACACATCACCAACATCCAAGCCAGCCACCCACTTCTTCTTCTGTGCCCTTCGTCCTTCTTCTTCCTTCTTCTACTGCCTGCCACTCCTGCTTTCCCTCTTGCCCCCGCCCACACCTACATACATACATATACTATGTGGCACACACAAAAATCCATAATCCTC